ATGCCATGTGGATGTTCTAGGTTGCTCAGAAGTTGGCTTGAAGATCTTGCCATGGCATTGTATTTCCCAGTGTAAAATGATCTTAGCACCTCCAACTCAATGGTCTTGCTGGAACCTAACACAAGAAATGGTGGCTTTTATTTTCAGCTCACCTCACTTACCTTGCTTTTGAAGAACACCAGGCAAAAAATCATGGACTCTTCTCTAACATTTTATACCCAGTATTTTGTAAGAAAAAGGGGCAGATGTATAAGTAAGGTGCCAAGATGCATGAACAAGTTTTCTTATTTCATGCAAGCAACTGACATCCTGGGTAATTCTCAGGAAATGGAGAAATGTATCCCAGAATGAAAAAAGCTTTAGTGCTTTCAACTTCTTCCTCCACCTGACTGATCTGGTATATTTTATGCTATAGTATGTTTCCGATTAAGATGTTGGGCCCAAAAATCACTGGCCAACAAAGAAGCTTGATTAATATTTGGCAGGGGTTTTTTTCTGCTGCTCTCTGCATAACAGGAGAGCAACCTCAATGGAGACAGATATTTGTTCCACTTGCTTCAGGTTTACAGAGATGTTACTTTCAAATTCATTGCTGTGTCCGTCTCGCGTTGGCATTTCTTGGCTCTTGTTACTGACACAACCCAGATGAATAAAGAACCTGCCAGGACTCCAGCTACTGCTGCCACAATGACAGCCCAGTAGGGGACTGAAGGTTCGGTTTTCTCCGGGAAGATGGGAGCTGAATTTCTGAATCCGCTGTTTCTTAGTGTGAAGAGAAAGGGTTTCTCCTACAAAGGGAGATCAAAGGGTTTTACTGACCACAGATGACTCAACAGGCAGCACTCAGACAATATGCCTTCACCCCTTCCCAGGGAAAAAAGGTCAATCATTAGCCGATTATCAACCATTTCTCCCCTCTGCCTATTTTAGCCCAAAAGCATTAAAGACTATTTTCTGCCTTATGGCCTGAAAGTTCTTAGAAGAACAAAAGAAGAACTGTTTCAGAACCAGCAGTCGTGGCATCAATTCCCAATTCGTTTGCTGCAGACAGCCAAATGGAAACGTGTAGACGAGTTAAAACTGGCTTAAGTGAGAGGCTTTCTACTACAGGGAGGATGTGGGTTTGTTTTTTTTTTTTTTTGCATTAAATCTTAAGCAGATTTTCCTGAAGACCTCCCATGTGATATCCTGTTACAGAACAGGAAACTATTTTTGCTGTTTAAAACCTTCAAAGAGATACTCTTTTAATGAACATTACCAACAAGAAGAAAGGAGAAAAACAAAAGTGGTTCAAAGGAGAGTATGGGCATCTTGGTCTTTACTTACTGGGGTTGGACACTTGAGTTTTGATCTGTCATGGGTAAAGTTGTTGAAACTCTGCTTCTCACCAACTGGCTCCAGCTGAAGAAGAGAAAAGCAATAGTAAACGTAATGAAGTTTGCTTCCTCAAACTCTCCTGATTGGGTACTTCTTACCCAATCTTTTGATGCTTGGAACAATGAAGAAATGTGGGAGAAGGTAGATTGCAGGAAAGTTTCCAAACATTTTAACATTCATAAACCCAAAGACACTGAGAATCTGATGTGCTGTGTGCTGAAAAGCCCCCTTAGGAGTGAGGGACATGAGAAGACTTTTTTTTTTTTTTTTTTTGCACTTGGTGCAGAAGAAAACTCTGAATACCACATATATTAAATATTCTGCTAAAACAAAGTGGTTCAGTATACATCCAGTTCTCTACTCCCCCTCACCCCTCCCCAACATCCCAAATGACAGTATAAGCCATAGGGAACAAACCACATGACAGGTGTTAGTCATGTTACTTAGCATGGTACTGAAAGAAAGATGCTTAGGTACCGCAATGGTGGAAACAGCTTCAGAAATGATACAGAGTTACAGAGATGGGACAAGATAGTACCAATCTTTGCAGTCTTCACTTGGACAAGAAATTCCCTGGGAGATTTGGCTAAGGCTATGTTCACAAGAGTGAAGGAACTGAGTTAAATAGAGCCTCTTATATTGTCAACTAAGCTGCATTAACTGACCATAGGCTCACCCTGAGTGCATTTCAAACGCGGAATAAAATATGTCCAGGCTAATGCCATAGCATTTGTGGTTGGCTAGGAGTGCACATACCACCAGTTACCATGGTTAAGCTAACAAGCAGAAGCTTGCTCAGTCATGTTAACTGAAGTGTTTACAAGTGTGTATGAACATACCTGAAGTAAAGACTTCAGGATTGGTCCACAGAGAATAACAGAATTGCCATCCAACACTTCTGGGAATACAGTGCAGAGGAGCGCAGTTGTCTCTGCTGTTATCTATAAATGCATTTACTGTCCTCAAGAGATTAAACATCAGCTGTATGCTGAAGAGAAGCAATACCTCAAGAAACCAAAACACAGTGTGCAGAAAAGGAAAAAAATTCTACCAATAAGATTCCCATATGGAAACACTGGGAACACTTTCTCTCTGTAGTTTAGTGATAACAAGTGGAAGTACACGCTGAAAACAAAACGAGAGCAATGAACGAAGGTGAGATGCGGAAGGTAGCGTCTTTCATATTAAAAACATAAGTAGGGAAGGAAAGAAAGCTAAGAAGTGTGGAAAAGATGAGAAGCAAAACAACTGAATTCCAAGTTTCGCCCATTGTCACAGAGTTCTGTTGCTGGATAAAGGCAAATGTTGCATAAAAGTCTTAACCATTTGGCCTGCCTGCAAGCGATGAGAAGATTGAATTTGGTAGTTCTGCTGTATCTTAAAGGGAACAGCCAAAATTCTGATGTTGTTATTCGCAAGCTACGTGGCTTGTATCCTACAGCGTTCTGCCTGCAGTCTAGCTGGTTATTTGTAGATAATTGTAACACTTCCTGTGCCAAAGCACTTGGTAAGGAGTCTGGCATGGAGCCCAGACAAAGGATAAGGTGCAAAACTCTGTAGCCAGCAGTATTCGCTTCATCTCTACGCAATCTCTACCTCGGAAGCATTAGCTTCTGAGCTTTGAGGATGACTGCATCCCCGAGTCCACTTGTGCAAAGGACGATTTTTGGAAGAAAGAAGCAAACAGCTCCTGTAGAGCCTCACAGCAAACACGGAGAAAGAACGAAAGCTAAACGCACTGCCCATGTGCTCTTCTCCGGGGCCAGTGGACTGATGAGGTAGACTTGCGACTAGTGGGGCCCCTTAAGACAACATGGCCTTCTGACTTCAGAGAGTGCTTTGCTGTGTGTCAGGTAGGCAGGGCAAAGAACAGTGCAGGAGAAAACAGCCCCTTAAGCCATCCCCATCCCTGCATACCCATGTAACGGCCAGGCACAGTCTGGCCCTTTATGCATAGAGACGTGAACCCATGTCATTTGGCCATGCGCCGACAGCCTGCTGAGCTTTTCAGTGAAGAGGAAAACAATATAGCCTTACAGTCAGCTTGCACAACCTCTCTGTACAAGGATGGCAAGTGAAAAGCAGAGATGCATTACCAGAACTAGATTTAAATAATAAGCAGCCAAATCTTCAGTTAACACAGATCAACAGAGCTCTGTTGAAGTGAGCAGTTTTGCTTTACATTAGTAAGAATCTGGTTCCCACTACCCCAGTAGAAGGCTTTGTGTCAATATTTTTACGTGCGTAGGAAATGAGTGGCAGCCTGGACAGAGTAAAACTTGGGTGGCATAGAGAAAGAACTGATCGTGAATCAGGAATGAGTAATGGCCAGCAGGAACACCACGTGGCAATACAAACCGAACTTAAGGCTACCATATGCCCAGGTACAATCTCTTTTCTTTTTCTTTTTGGAATCTAGAGCCATGCACAGTTTGAACATTTTCTACATTTGTTTGGGGTTTTCAGGCCACTGTGAGCCCTGTTAAAGCGAGTGCACATTAAAGCCTATCAGGTGGCTAGCATCTGGAAGCCCAGAGAGTGGGGCTCAGAAGCCTGACATTGGAAAACAGGCAGATTTGCTATGTGCGCACAAATCAATGGTTTAGGCAAGTGCTTGCACTCTGTGTCTATTACTTCCTATAACCCTGGCCCTCAGCTCATATGCTATGCTGAGCCCTGGATTCCCCAGTCCTTGAGCTCAAGTTCATTTCCAGAGGATCCTGCAAGTCTGTCTCCTTCAAACTTTTTATTAAACTGAAAAGAAATTCCCCTCCATTTATGTCCTATTCTTGTATAAACCAGGATACAAGACCTCTGCTAGCACAATGTGTTTGGCCACTGGTGTTTATGAGATGAGATAAAACATCACTGCAGCATAAAAATGCCATAGTATTCCTTCCACTATGGGAAACAGTATCGCTCTGAAAGCGACTGCAACCTTGGAGTAATCAAATTCATCATATGCCCTTTACACGCTCTGCCAGCACTATTCAACAGCTGTCATTTCCCCCCAAAATGACAGAAGAAATGCAACTGCAGAGGAAGCCTAGGTGCGATTTCAGCTCACCGTTAGTTTCAGTGAATCTACTAGAATTGCCTCAGATCCTAGAGTGGGTGGTACAACATGTCCATACTATTAATGGCAGCAAAAATTCAGTCACATGCATGTTCTCCTAATAAATTTAACAATTCACTGTAGAAGGGCAAGCTAATTCAACATAGACATTTTTATGAAACCTACATGATTGATTTAATGCAAAACATTTGCCAAAACAGAAGGAAATTTTTTTCGGAGCTCATGGGACTCTCAGGATTTCTCATCTTGAATGAGCAAAGGTTTATATTGTTTTATACAACATGATTGCTTTGGACTGTGCTCCCAAACAGTGCAACCTGAGACGGGCTTCTTCCTAGAGCTCAGGATTCCCCTTCCTGTTAGCCTACCCATTTTATTCCTCGCTGTTTTGCTTTGGACACATTTCTCATGTTTTTTTGTGGAGACAGCTACCATAAATGCATATGGATCTGTTCCATAATCTCTTACCATATTATTCCAGAGAGCCATAGCCATCTCAGCATAGCCTCTTTCACTGAAATGAAAGCAATCTGCAGAAAAGAAACTCAGATCTGGCTTTCCGTTCTGCAATAAAAGCAAAATACTTTTCTCAGCATTATTGAGCTTTGAGATCTGACATGCTGTATCCAGAAGTACAGTGCACTTGGCATATCTCCTTCACAATTTTAGTATCTCCTTAGAGGTGATATATTCTTATTTTGACACTATACATAAACCTAAGTACCACCTAACCACAGGCTGCGTACTGCATCTTGAGACCTTCTGTGTAATGCAGTCTGCTCAACTTCACACAGCAGTTTCCATACCAAAACTAAACTTGTCATTAAACTGACAACCATAGCTCTTACACGGACACTGCCATTGACCCATAGCCCACCTTCCAAAGAACTGGTAGGAAACTGGCTGCTTATTTTTGCCTATTAAGCTTTTACAGCTCAGCCTCAGGCTTATAAGCTTTCGGTTTTGAAATTTGTGCTGTATTTCAGGTGAACGTCCAAAATTGAAGGCTTATCCAGCTGTAGCAAATGCCTTTCTTACTCATCACTGTTAAGAAGGCAACTAGTCAGTGGACTTGAAGGCTGCCAGAACACAATGGTGATGATATGACAAAAGGGTTATGCACAACTGGATGCTTTGAACTAGGATTCATACTTAATTTTCATATTCCACACTACACAGTGTACAAAATACTAAGGCTCAAGGACAAGAGAATTAGCCTTTAGCTTCCAAAGCTGCTTCCTATTTCTATGCTAGGATAAACCAGGCATACAGCATTTTCTAATGAGTGATCTGGCCTCCATGTGAAGGAAGCCTGAACATATTTCATAACCTAGATCAGAAGAAAATTCTGGCATATGCCAATTCTAGTCCCATACACAGACAACAGGGGAACCAAAATATAATCTAAATTAAGCCAGAGGGTGCTTATATTTAGTGCATGCACACTTTGAATGTTTTCCAAAGCCACTTTAATTCACAGGAACTATGTAATCTATGTAATTCTGTTCTTTCATTTGTTACCCTTATTGCAGGCTCCACTCTGTACTGCTAGACTATGCAGAGAGAAGACAGCCCAGTCCTTTTCTCACGGATCTTACTATCTTAGACAAGTCAAGATACTGGTCCTTGAATAATGAGCAAGGAAAATCAGGACTCACGCTATCCAGGGTCAGAAAAGTGTTTCGGAAAAATGGTTGCATGACAACTGCGAAGTCCTCACGCTGTTCATATCGACCACTGTTGACCATCTGTAAGGCTTCAACCTGTGTGGAATTGCATGGGCATAAACAGAAGAGTAACTTACAGGGTTCATCTAACTTTTGTCAACAATCATGAAAACATGCATATTACACTTCTTTCTATGTGGACAACCATAAATTATTAATATAAAACCAGCTGGATAGTGTAAAGCAGTCCAGAGAATGGCAAAGGAAATAAATCTGGTTCATGAAGAGATTTTTCATGAGGAACATGCAAAGAAGCTAGGATAATTTATCTGAAATGTAAAGATGATGATTTTTTAAAAACATACTCCATACCTTATAAAATCAGTGCTGCACAATTTCAATAAGATTTAAAGTTTACAGAGAATTAAAAAAAGCAATAGGCCCCCATTTTTTAAGAAGTGACAAATGAGTTCAGAGTGCCAACCCGAGACAATTTGAAATCTGCTCGATTTTTCAGAAAGGTGTACTTAAAGTAAAATAAAACAGGTATTGAAAAATCAGCTGCTACTTTTTAAAATTATGGCCATGGACATTCATGTGGATAATGAAAACATCTCATTATTACTTGGCAGCTTATGGGTATAAACTCTCATGTTTCTAGTCATATCTCAAAATATTCCTAACCCCACTTCCTCAGTTAAGAAACACAACCCCGTGGGTAGGCTTATATGGATATTTTCCAGGACAGATTTTTTTTTTTTTTTTTTTTTTAGCATCATCAGACTCATCAGGCAACATCCTCTGCTAGAGACAGCATGGGGAACTACAGAGCATAACATGATCTGATACGATTCCTATATTCATAGGAATAATAATGGAAGATTCTTCTGCTGCAATACTTACTTATAGCTTTTGCTAAATTGGAGTGAATCTTATGCCTTGGGCTATGAAAAGTTACTATCAGATTACAAGCTGACCCATGGCAAGCTATCTGTGCACACACTCTCGGCTCATGACAAAAGAAAGGAGTATCAGGTTAGTTTAGTTTGCTTTCTTTGCTAGGAGTTTCCACTAAACAGCTGATGCAAGGTAATTTGTCACCCTTGCAGTGACATGTTAATTCATGTGGATTCATAATGGACAGACACACATAAAAAACCAGACATCATCAGTAACTCCTTTTCAGCTGTCCAGACAGTAACTGGAAACAGAACCAGTCTCAGTGTGCCTGCAGCTCAGAACAGAGGTCAAACAACAAGGCTAAATGGAAAGGCCTGTTCTGCTGCTAACCAGGTAGCTGGCTAGGGTTTTAAACTGTAGCCACACCTGATCACCCCTGTCTGTACTGCTAAGGGTAGGTGAGAGAGGAACAGGAGTGAGGGAAGTAGTTTTTTTTTAAAAAAAAAAAAAAAAAGTAAATGCAGACACAGATGAAGATGACCAATTGCAGAATCAAGGTATTACCTGAAAATCTCTATTAACTCTTTTCATTTCTTGTAGTTCATAAGAGTTTTCCTCAGGGATTAAGAAACATGGGCAAGCAATCCTTCAGAGAAAGAAATACTAAAATTAAAAGTTAATCTGGAACAGTCTATGACCGCTGGAACAGGTTGCCCAGAGAAGTTGTGGAGTCTCCTTCCCTGGAGATATTCAAAACCCACCCAGACACGATCCTGGGAAATACGCCCTAGAGGACCCTGCTTGAGCAGGGGGGTTGGACTAGATGATCTCCAGAGGTCCCTTCCAACCCTGAACCATTCTGGGATTCTGTGATATGTAGTTCTTTAGCAACACACTCAGTTTCAAGAACCTCAGAAAAGTGCTCAAAAGCTCAAATGCAGAAGGAGAGTCACCTCATTGGCTTAGAGATGGACAGATACTTCAGAAAAATACTGAACACCTATTAGGTTCAGTTAAAATCAATACGAGCTGCAGGATTTGGAACTCTTGAAAGTCAGGCACAAAGTGTATATTTTGCCATGCGTTAGTAGTAAATCACATGTGTTAGAATAAAAATAAATAAATAAAAATCTATTCTTCTTACAGCAGAATTACAGAAATCTGGGAGTTTAAAGACAGAAAAGACAAATGGCTCATGAAATCTGACTCCTCAAACTATTCATTCTGTTACCCCTGTGTCAAGGGGTAATAACCTCTGCTTGACTGTAGTGTATTCTCTGAAAAGGGTCTGGAATTAATATGAAGACATCAAACAAGACAGCCAATTCACTATTTTCCTTTCTAGTGTGTTCCAGTAGTTAATTGCTTTTATTATAAAAAGTGTGCCTAACTTCATTAGGCACCAGCTTCCAACCACTGTTCTTTGTTGTGCCTTTCTCTGTTGGACTAAAGAGCCTTTTCAGGTCCACACCGACTCCTGTGAAGTTACTACTGCTCTCTAAATCAAATCTCTCAATCTTCTTTGAGTTAAGATTTTGGTCTCCTCCCTTGGATGTGAAAAGCAGCTCCTGGTTCTGCATTCTGCTGTACATAGCCCAACCTGCACCATAGGTTACGCAGCACTGAACGTAAGTAGAGACGTCAGGGATGCCAGCCTCTATTGCCGAGCAGTGAACGGCTAGGTGACAAGGCTTTGAAATTCAGTAGTATGACAATTATCTGGTGGCTTGTGCTGTGATGTGCTGCCTTAGTCAGAGCTGAGAAGAAAAGCAATGACTTTGAAATCTACAGGTACATGCCTTTTAGCCAAAGTACTGGAAGAAGCAATAGTAAGTTGATAGGAACTAGTGCATTCATTTAAAGGCAGCAATGAAAGCAGCTTGAAAAGCTCGGTGTGGATATCCTACTGTAGCAGCAGTTTAGACTGATCCAAAAAAAAAAAAAAAAAAAAAAAAAGCACTTTAAAAAGGTGAAGATCCGTTTCACTCACTCACATTTCTGATACGGCACACCTTGAAGAGCTTGCTGCTATCTGACGTAGTCCAGAAATCTCTAGTATCTCCACCATGTTGACAAAGACTCTTGGGAGCTGCAGGGATTATAACAAACAGTTCTGCCGAATCACCGAACATGATACCACTACAAAGTGAGAAAGTGCCATCCGTAGGTCAGAGAGTTAGTGCACACTGCACTGACTGCAACCAGTGGCATGTGCAAGGATAATGTATAAGGGGGAGGAGGAGGGTTAGGCAGGCACATAGTAGATGTCTGCCAGAAGATGAGTGGCAGCTTGTACAAACTAGCTGAAATGCTGCTTCGCTCTCCCTGGGGCATTTTCATTTTCTCTAGGGTAAATGACACTTTGTGCAGTTGGTTTAGCCATCAAGATTGGCAGCAGGGCTGTACTATGTGTTTGGCTAACAGCAAAAACACCGTGAAAAGCGCATTATTTTCTGAAGCAGCAGCCCACTTTCTCGGGGCATTATCTAACATGGTCGCTAGACTACTCCTCAGTGCTGCACTACAACTTCAGCTATTTGGAAGATGACCTTGGATGAAACATAATCACTGACAATCTAGCAGAGATGAAAAAATGGCACTGTGCTTGCCAGGAACATAGCTTGCTAAGGCATCTTAAAAACTTACCTCCTTATAGAAAATATCCAGTGTGTCCTGAAGGTGCTTTATATACTTTTGTACTGAATAGGTTTCCTGTGTAATAAAAAAAAAAAAGAAAAAAAAAATCAGATCAGTCTCAGAGTAATCAACTGTTTTAATTGAACAGAGAGCCCCCCACAGACTTGTGAGAAGATACACTGACTCGATGCTCCTTTTTTCTCTGATGGCATAGACGAGATTTATTGCCACACACAGAGGTTATATAGTGTTTGTTTTTCCACATAACTAACACATTCCCTTAATCTCTGTGGAACAACCACCACCCCCCACCTCCAGCTTTATAATAGTTCTTGGCAGAGTCTTTCCCTGATGAACGACTCCATAAATCACACCTCAGGATTTCATGTTGTCTTTCATGGGGCCCAGGCCAGAGGTATTTAGTTTACAAACAGAGTGATACATTTTTTTAAACTGCCAGTTTAGGAAAGCGGCGATAGAGGCAGTCAGGCCTCACAAAACTCTCAGGCAAAATGACTTTGTGAGGGTAATTGTAGAGGTGTAGCTGTGGGGTCAGAGATGTGAGTTAGCATCCTCTAAAGGGAAACAGGGCAAAACTGACAGAGCAATACCTGGCACTTCTGCGAACAGGGGTCCAGGCGCACAGCCCATGCTGTGGAAACTTTTCTAGAGGGAATGGCTGCTGCTAGCTAGGTAAAAACCCCCACCTTTTTCACTATAAACTGAGGTATTTCATTTGGTGACGTTCTGATGCAATAACCAGGCATCTCCAATTATTTTTGGATGGAGACACTTTCCAGGACGAAACCTCGCTCATGTCTCTAATAACACGCACAAGACACCATAGTGTCTCGAGTGTTTGGTCCGGTTAGACTGGGAGATCTCTTCAGTTTATACTCTGTTTTGTTCAGTATGGTGCAGACTGCTCTTTCTTAAATAATGCATTAGTCCAGAGCTACAGTGTCCCAATATTAAAAGCTGTGCACTCCTTTCTGGTACAATACAGATGAAAGGAACAGCAGTTCTCAGTGCTTTTTACACAAAAAGGAGCTTTGGCTGACCAAAAGAGAGAAAGGCTAAATTTCCAAAGCTGGTCATCTGCCAAGTGCCCAGACTAGCATGCCTAATTCAGAGATACAAACCTTGTCCAAGCAGTACTGACACAGGTCGTTGCCTCCAACAAAGACAGTGATCAGCTTCCAGTCCTCCTTGAAGTTAATTTTCTAGTGGCACATAAAACAAACAGATTGCAGTGTCCTACCAGCTCAGAATTGCTTAGTCACGCAGAGGCAGCATTCACAACCAGGGCTAAATGGGGTACAGGCACCATGTCAGAACAGCAGAAAAGAAGCTATGAGCTAAGGCGGCAGAAGAAAACTGTCCGAGGGGAAAACGTGAACTGTTTGCTAGCCTGGCCACAATTCATCTTTTCTTTCGTAAAAGAAATCCCCTTCAGCAGGCAAAAGTTGTCAGGGTGGCTAAGTAGGAAGATGTGTTTCTGGGGCAGGAAGCCTACCAGAATGGATGTTAGCTTCAGGAAAGGGACGGACAGGCGAGATTTGCCAGGCACAGCTGGACACTGCCGGCAGCATGGCACTGAGCAGGGGCAGGGGCCGGATTGGCGAGTGACTCATGGGAGCAGTGGTGCTGGAGCTGCTGAGGATCGCTGCCAGCTGAGCAAGTATTACCCTGACTGCCAGGAGGGGAGAGGGGTGCCCCAGGGGACGGGCAGCTGGATTAAAATAGAAGAGTCCAGGAGACTGGTGACTTCAGCGAGCTCATATAAGGGCAGCTGCAGCATCCACGTCACTACAGCTAACAATAGGAGCTGCCGAGAGCTGGAACTCAAAACATTTTGTAACCTTCAGTACAAAGAAAGGAATCAAAGGCAACTATTTTTAGAGTGGTGCATTTACATAATGAACATCTGCAAGAGGAGCCCACAAGCAGAGGAAGGGCCTGGGAATCACCCACAGGTCTGGATTCTCCTCCTTAACCCCACACTTTGCCTCTTGTAAAAGGCTTTCTGAGCAAAGTACAGCAGGGACTTTCCTTCGCTCTTTTTAAAGCGGCAAAAAACCCCCAGGAAATAAAGCAAAGCTCTGGAGCTGCCTACTCTTTTACTCAAGAGCCAGTGCATCTAATGCCAGTTCCCCTCACTCTGCCAAAGAGTCTGTAATGCGGCGTAACTGACAGTGGGGCAAGCATGCAACATCCGTCAAGTGTGCTGGCACAGATAGACATGTGCTTTGACAAATCCTGCTTATTCAGTACCTTCCTTTGCCATTCAGCCTGTGCCAAGGAGCACCAGGCACTCCCACTCCCTTACACAGCACTGTCCCTGAACCAACAAATCACACCCAGACAGCTATCCACTTGGATAAATTCAGCCAACACTTGGTGGAGGGCAGCCTCAGTTTTCTTCCATATTTCTCACCCCCTGGCCCAAATTGCAGCGGTGGCCACTATGTTGAAAGCAACGTAGCCCTTTTGGTCCCCTTCACAGCCCTCACTGAAGCAGGAGCAGCAGGTTGCTCCAGGACACTAGATCCCTTATCAACACCCTAAAAGCTTGTGGCATTGCAGGAATTCACCCCCAGCCCCAAGTATCTTGGCCAGGGATTATTATTTGCCAGTTGAGGAGCAGAGTTTCAGAGGTCCTAACCTCCTGGGAGGGCTTCAGTCATCTGCCTTCCTAGCATTGCCATTTCCTAGACCCAAACTCAAAGGGCGAGTAGGACGATTCACCTGGCGCCTACACGAGCAACTTTGCACTCAGTCTTTATGACTTTCACTTTCAAGACCACTGCTCACCTGTACAGTCCTATGATCAGTACAGTCTTCACATCTCTCCCCCTCCCCACTACAGTTCTTGCAGTCCCTGGATGAATCACACATTAAACTAGTCTCTGCCTTATCTCTTTCCTTGTGTGTTTGCACACTACCTACATAGATTTATATAGGTAAAATCAATCTCCTAATGGTAGCGACTAATCCATTGCACTTCCATGTTGGAAGGCACACCAGAGAAAAACACGAATTTTTCTCCCATCTATAAAGCACTCTTTACCACTCAAATGTCCCATCAGTTACAGTTATCTACCAGAGACCACAAGACCATTGAGCGGTGGCTCAAGTTCCCAATCCTGATGGCTCAGAGGAGTAATCCACTTACCGAGCTGCTTCTCATTAGCTCCACCAATTCACGTGCTTGGGACGGCATATTGCTATAGAGAGAGGAGAGAAGCATTTTAGATCTTCCTGCTCTCCCACTCCTCATTTCAGGGAGCCTTAGGAATAGCAGAAGTCAGTACAGGGAAAGTGATGCCTCAAAAGGGAGAGCAAACAAACAGGGACTAAGAGCAGCAGCAGCAGCTGCACAAGTGAATAATCTGACCTGAAAGGGCTTCAGCTAGAACGGCTGCCAAGTGGCAGACAACTGGGATGAATTCTTCCCATTTCAGAATTTGCTTAAGTGCATTTCGTTTGGAGAAAAACATTTAGGCCTAGATGCACAGAGACATTTAGTCGCATAACTCCCTTCGAAATCCAGCGAGGGAGTTTGATGCTTACATGTAAGCTAGGCACCTAAACAGCTTTCTTGATCTGGCCTTGAATTCCCATGGCTTGTCTTAGAGCTGGAAGACATTGTTTACACTGAGGAACTGCCAGGCTGGAGGAGTACCAGCCCATCTCTGGGCAGGATGCGACATCCATGGAGTGAAGTACAAACCATGCTGAGGTACCAGGTGGAAACCTCATATCACGAGACTGTACTTGACCTAACAAGCCCTGCCTCTCTCCAACAGCTACACAGATGTGGCTACCTTGTTTGCACTTCTGGAACCATACAAGCAAAATGGTACCTGAGTCTCTGCTCAGTACATCCATGAAGTATTTCACAACCACACAGGCTTTCCTAGCTACCCTGAAACTCTTGCGGTAAATGTAATGACAGTTAAGGCTGTCACAAAGTCTTGGAAACAAATTCCACCAGCATCCGTAAGCAGATATAGCGTATGCAATATAAACTCTCATGCATTTTGGCTCTTAAAAAAGAGTCTAGACTAGAGTCTAGAGACTAGAGTCTGGAGTTTTCCTTCAAAGGGAGAAATAAATCAACTCCCAACCACTCATTCTGTTCTTCTGATTTGCACTGCAAATAGGGATAGTTTTTAACGCAATTAGGGTAGCAGTGGGCTTCTATTTGATAATTTGAGGCACGTGTCCCAGAAATCAAGGAATAACTGCGAGATGATCATGAATTTTGTCTGATTATAGACATGGTCTGACAACGAAGGAGGGACCTGCATACCTAAGGCTGGGTAGAAAAAGGTACTGATAGATTTAGTAACATCATCATTAAGGCATTGGCTTCGAAGTTCTGGGCAGAAGTCAGAAAAAGAAAGGAAGTTTCTCTCCGTTTCTAATTTAGAAAGAGATATAAAGAAATATTTCCCCAAATATTGGATTCAAAAACAACAATCAAACCACAGATACGTGCACAGTACAAGGAGATCATCAGCATTAACTCAGCCTTAACATGCAGTTTCAGAGATTATCTGCCAGTCAATCAGTTCTCACCCCTCTTTGTCCTTCCTCGGTCACAATTATGCTTACAGTGCTTTGGCGCCTCCCTCCGCTGCATTGAATCCAGCTGTTTCCTTAGTGTTGCCAGTGGAGAAGCCAAAGAGGTTTGGATTGAATTTTTTCAGGATATCTTAAAAGGAAGAGACACGAAATTTAGACATCCACAATACAACAAACGGTATTGCTTCGCACAGAAGTGCGAGCCAACCTTGTGAAAATACAGGCCTAGGCTTTTTTTTGGTTCACTGTGACCTTAAGCAAGCTACAGACACACCTGCCTTGGAGGCTCCAGAAACTGCCCAGACTTAGGTGTTGCAGCTATTTCTCTCAGCGGCCTCCCAGGAGCCAGGGTCTGGCAGACCTGGACAGCCGCGTGTCTCAAGAAACTCACCATTCTTGAATATGGGTGCCAGAGTGATCACAACTACTTCCCTTAATTCAGACGCTCTGAATACAGAAACCTGCCTCCGTCTTCTCCAGCTACTCATATTTGTTGCAAAGAAGTGCAGTTTTATTCACATTTATAGACTTAACTGAAACCCTCAGTGGGGAAGCATGATGTCTGAATGCTGTTAGGGCTACCGTGTCTGTAACGCTGTCTGAAGCCTCTTTATAGAGTCGTATCTACAGCGCCGCATACATAATAAAATATGCCTTTTATTTTTCTTTAGACACAGAGATGTGCATGGTACAAGACAAAGCGTACTGAATTCTATTACCAACAATGCCAGGTATTGTCAGCCTGCTTCGCAGCATGGATCACATACAAATAGATGAACTGTTGTGAACCAAGTGCCCTCTAATTTATGGTCACATTGACCACTTACAGTTTCCATGGCAACTACAGCAACTGGTTACACAGAACACTAGGACAAGAAATTTATAGCATTTTTAGATTTTTTTTCAGTGCAATTTAGCAACTTGAAATCATTGGGAGGAACCATAACCTTGACAACAGCCTTCTCTAGATGGACCACTAATTGCTTCACAATCCTTCATTTGCCCACAGCCATTACAGTCAGATTGGAAAACACAAAACAAAGTAAAAGAGGGGCAGATCTGCTATGAACTTCTGTCACCTTCAGCACGTTTGCTCCTCATCAGTCCTGTCAAAAGGACAAGAGTCCTTTTTGGAGTTAAAATCACAAACAGATCCTGTAGTGTGGAGGAGCTGAATCAAGCTTATAGCTAGTAAGGGTCAGTCTATGTTGCAGCTGTGACTCAAATGTGCTGCTTGTTTCCATAATAGACAGGCATCCCCCACTGTTTGCAAGGAAAGCGTTAACCATTTCCAGATGTGTCCTAGCATCTGCCTGGACTACTTTGAGTAATACGCACCTTTCCCTTTTCTCATGTTGGTTTTCCAGGATACTCACTGGGTAAAGTAGTCTGAGTCTCCAGGGTCCCGTCACCTCCGATACTACAAAGAGAAAGAGCAGAAGCACTAAGTAAGACTAATCCTGCAACCATCTGTCTTATTGTCACCATATGTTGTCGCTGTAGCGGCCAAGGAAGGAAAAAAAGACAAACCTTGAACAGGACTAAGAAGATAAACCACAACACAAGTAGGAAGTCAGGGAAAGTACTGAAAGGAGATTTTGGATTAAATCAAACTGCTAAGACAGACACTATGACTACAGACTATCAATAGAGAATGCTGGGAGAAATACCTCTCTCATATACATGTGCTGGGATGCCCATCATTAGGAAAAAAAAACAAAAACAAAAACATATTTCCTCAAAGTTACTCCAAGTGACCTTGCTGCAACTACACTTGTGTGCATAGAAGATAGACTGCATTAAATGCCCATTAACCACCTATCTGGGATCCTGCAATACAGACTATTAAAAAAAGCCTCTGCTTCTGCCATTTAAAGCTTGTCTATGTGTCTCCGTGCATAGCCAATGCATTCCTATACCACCTCTATCAGCCTCTCCTGAACATGCCATCCGTGCATATACATGAGTGGAAGGGAGAAAAAAGGATGAAGCAAAGAGTGTATACACACATACACTTTTCTAAGTACTTCCGCCCATATAGAGCAGGCAGTTTCCTTCCACTCTAGCATGGACACCGAGATTTACATCCATCCAGACATATATTGTCTTTGACCACTTTGCAATTGCCTTCAAACAAACTTACCACAAAACACAGGGGACAAATTTTTTGAAGATATATGCAGTGCTCTCACCACGCTCAGGCCAATCCACACTCATGTTCATAATCTCTATTATTAGACATGGCAGTAGATAATCACAGTATCAGGAATATTTTGAATCATCTCCAAAGGGACCAGCTGGAAGCTGAAAACTCACTCATATTAATAATCTAATACTGTCAGACTGGATCACAGGACTGCACTGGCAGCAGTCAGATCTGGTCAAGAACCGCTTCCTGCGATAATCACTCCCTTTCTCTTCCAGTTTTGAGAAGCGGCTCTTCGCTCCTCCCTCCCTTCCTCTGCCAATCTTTACCCAGCAATACTTGTTCATTCAGCCTCCTACCTGCCCTGTACAGAGGCATTGGTTTGGTAGGAATAGGAGTTGTAGGTACTACAGCTGTGGCCGCACACCTTTATTTGGGACAACTCATTCTCATCTTCTTAAGTATGCGACTACACAGCCAGGTGACTCACTTCTAACTGTCTGTGGACAAAAATACCAGAGCATTTTTACCTCCAGGAAAGTCCCCTCCAGTCTCTTTGTGGATCTGTTGCTTGGGCTCCTACAGCAGTCTGGAAAGGATGGGAAGAATCATTTATGAAATACAAGATGAGAAAAAAAAGTGCTAAAAGCTGAGGTAAGACAGACATCATGATTTCAAAGTGCTGAAAGCATTTTGTTAACATTGCACTGTATCCAGCTAAGCTTTCCAAGTACTCTCTTGGGGCTTACATGCTCCATGCTCTGATTTACCAACATATTTGGCCCCTCGGCAACCCTTCGTCTCCTATGGCTCAAATTCATTGTCTGCACCTCATATGCAAGAGCAGCTCATCTAGATAATAGACCGTGGAGCGTCAGAGGAGATGCAGTCAACCACAGGATGTCATACCATAAGATCAAGGACATATAGCTTTGGAATTACTACTCTTATAAAGTTATTTCAGCAACCCAAGGGGACTCAGATGAATATCAACAGCAATGTATTTTTTTTGGATTTTTCTAATGGAAAATGCTTCATTCTGGCATTTCCTAAAGAAAACTGATTTTGAGAGAGACTTTATAATCCAAGGGGAAAACAAAAACATTGATGAAAAATCCACAGCCAGTTTTAGCTGTTAAATAGATCAGTAGAGGAGCTGCTTTTAATCTGGCACAACAAACCTTTGGTGTAAAATCCACTTTTCTCTGCTGGACCCAGTCTGCTAGTCTAACACACAAACGTCATGAAGTATAGGCAGTTTGCTGCTGTTGTTGGGTTTTTTTTTTTTTTTTTGGCCAATACAGATAAGTGCATCAAGAAGTCAAAAGAAGTCCAAACCAGATGCATTCCAGCCAGTGGCATGACTAAACTGCTCAGTGTTTCATTAATTTCCGACTGCATCTACATTGGGAACAGTCTCCCTGCAGTGTGAACTTAAATATCTTTTCTTTTAATAAAGAAAAGCCATCAGAACAAAAGAGAGGGTTGATGGATTTGAGTAACTCAAGGGCTCACCAGACTGCGATAGGAAGTGGGGGTTTTTTATTTTTATTTTTTTTTAATTTTTATTTATTTATTTAACCTCTGGCAAGGCCAGCACCCTGACATGCATTCGGGGCAGTAAGCATGAAAGCGGGTTCTTCCAGAGCTTTATAGTCTGTTAGTGGTTTCACTCCATTTCATACTCTTCAGAAAGCCACAGTATAAATTCAGCCATAAACACTGACTACAGTCAGGGCTCTTGTGAGAAATACCAATCAATGCTTTAGCGAACCAAGAAGGATCTTCCTCGCTGCAGCCCCTCTGTCCAGTCATGGTGGGGCAGCAAACTGCGCTGCTGCTGGCTGTACTGCACTTGTTCAGGGGGCGTCTGTACATGAGGGTGAAATATTTCACATTTCTTCACTATCATTAATTTCCTCCTTCCCTACCCAAGTAGCGCTAAATCCCTTAACAAAACCCCCAGTCGCAGTGCCACGGCAAGTGCCAGTTGCAACTGGCAAGAACATCATGAAAAACTGCACCCACGTGTCACCCAAAGTGGTCTTACTCAGCTGTTGAGGCAAGAGCCTCAAGCATCAGAGTCTGTGGCCCTCATGGCTACAGCTCTCTGAGATGTTTCATGTACTAAGTGAACATTTAGAAGAGAGATGCATGCACTGGCGGGAGGAGATCAAGTAATTAATTTTAAGAGTCATGGCAATTGACAGGAGGGAAGCTTACAGGGTCATTACTGAGGTCTTCTCAGAAAAGCTCAAAGCTCAGCAGGGGGCAAAGCCAGGATTACCTCAGGTCGTGCAAAATCAGTTACCAGAGCTAATAAGGAGGTAGAGACATGCACACCTGCCTGTGGATAAGCCTGATCATTTGAGGGCCTCAGTCCCCTCAATTCCCTCTGAACTCTACAGGAGCTGAAACTTCTAGAACAAGCACTGATTTCACTCAAAGAGTTGCAATTCAGGAAAGGTGACACCACATTTCTCTCTCATCCCATGCCAGAGCCATTCCGTACTGCCGTGTCACTCTGGAACTCTTTTCTCAAAGAACTTCAGTGCAGACCTGAGTATTCTCTGCTATTCTCTTTCAGTGCCTTTTTTCTCTGTGCCTATTCTTTTTCTTTTTGGTTTGCATTTTCTTGGTACACAAAATATATCAGAGTTTTAATTGGAAGGTGCCTAATGCAGGAAGCAACATTTGAAAGCAAAATTCTGAAATACTGAAAGTCAAAATTGTCACAAATGAGGCATTCTGCAGTTATTTCCATAGGAATTTTCATCAACATCTCTCATCGCATGAAAAATGTGAATTGTTTCTTCTTGATTTTATGCTAGAAAAGACTATTCTTCAAGGCAGACACTCCTCTTGTCAAAACCATGAAAAAAAAAAAAATTCCGTGCAACACAGAACGTGATCCCACTTCTGCTTTGACTTGAGTTATTCGTTACTGGATTACACAACTGCCGGCATCGCTCACATCCCTTCAGGCTAGCTATTTCTTTTGCAAAGGGACACAAGTGGATGAGTTTTGCTTTGCCAAGTCCAAGCAATTTGCTTTCTATCTGATGATGCCTGGCATGACAACAGGTGGAAAAAGACAAATTTTTTTCTCATTCTAAACCTGGGAATACAGTAGTACTCACAGTCAGGGAATCTCCCAGTGCTCCTATGACTTTGATGTCAACAGGTCGCAATTCATGTACTAAAATAGAATGGAGGGGGGAAAAAAAAAGGCAGGATTATTGATAACTGACACAAAAAGCCGTTCATCAAAATAAAGATTTGAATCTTCACTTCCAACCTGATGATATTTTTACAGACGTTTGGGAAGAGTGAGCCTAAAAAAAGTTCTACATATCAGCTAAGCAAAAGGCATAAACTCTTGTAATCAGCTTGCAAAAATATCTTCAACTAACAAGAAAATAAATGGACCTTAAAACAGCTGTCCACATGTCACCTTCAGAAGTGAAAACAGATTAGATACATTTAGCAATGCATGCATTCATGCTCTTTTAATCAGTTTTAAGGCTTGGACCATAGATCAATACTTCCCATTAGCTATATTCCTGTAAAGCGTTCCAACTTTGCACAGATCACCCACTGCGCTGCTTATCACAGCAGGTTCACCAGGCAGGTCAAACTTGCTGAGCCACTAACTTGCCTAGGGAATTTTAATCATGCTGCTGTATGATCACATGTATCCACAGAGAACATCCCTGCTGGGTTGCAGAACTTGCTGTGTACGGCAAGACAGACTTTCTTGCTGCACTGCTATATTTGTCAGCCTTTATTTCCTTTCCATTTAAGATTTGCAGTTTCAAGATCTTACTGCTTTTCAAAATAAAAAGGCGGATTCTTTCCTATTTGTCATTTTAGCTTACAAGTTCTTTCTCACCTGATGTTGGGACAGGTCTGGATGGAATCTGTTCAGAACATGACAGGTCACTGCCCCAATTCTGAAGTGACAAATAACAAACCTGATCACTTTACGGTTAGAAGATGATATGGAACACTTATGTAGTTGAATTGTGTTATTAAAAGCAAAACCAAAACCAAATTAATACACATATTCTAGTTGGGTGCTATATAGCTCAGCAATTCTTCTTCTTCTTTGTGGAACGCTCGCCAAACATTAATTACCTTTGGTGAAATTTTCTAGCTGAAACATACCATTTTGCCAAAGTCAAAACATTTCATCTAGACATTTTGCTTCTGATCAAGTTTCATAAGGAGGATAATTTTTCCCCTCCCAACAGCCTGGAGATTTTGTCCTTGACCTAGGGGGGGGCTCCAGGTTTGAAGTCCTGCTCCGATCTGAAGATACTTCAGATTTAAAAAACCAAGGAACACCCCCCCACACACACACAATTCTCTGCAAAGTTATATTATTATTTCTCACATATCTTGCTAGAAACCTCTTCTTCACTAGGAAAATTTCAAAAATGCCTTGTTTGCACTTAATATAAAAATATAAAAATATTTTTGGAGCCTCAGAAGTTTCAGAAAAACAGAGCTGTCAGCCTCTACTCAGATTGCTTCAGTAATTAGACTTTACTATATATTTGCAAATGATATCATAGGTATTATGTTTATTCCACCAGTGATGAAACTGAGTCAGTCACATGCTACAGAACATCCTGGTTCATTTGCAGAGGCAGCTGATGAATGTATTCTTCCATAATGACAGAAACAACATTAGCCAAAAAATGTAGTGAGGCAAAAGTTTTAATTGTTGCAATGGGAAGTCCCCTGTAAGAGCAAAGATATCTGCTCATTCTGATCTCAGAGCTGACACTGCTTCAAGCAGGCGGTTGGACTAGGAATCTCCTGAGGTCCCTTCCAACCTCCATTATTCTACGATTGCATGATTTGATCATTCAGACAAAAGCTACATAGACCAGCGATCTTCAGAAAGTACGAGATGCTCACAAGGTTAGCAAAAAAGAAAAAAAAAAATTTGCCATATATAACACAATGTAAGAGGCTGTACAATCAGCCCTCCAGCTAAAAGCTGTTTCAAGAGGCTAGAATAGACAGCTGGGTTTATTTTTAGATGAGAGAGGAAACTGTTTCTTTACTCTCTACTGTTTTTCCTTTATCATTTTCAATGAATCTCAACAACAATAGCTTTTAAAGTACAAGAATTACCCATTAAGAGCATAACTCCTGCCTACAGAAAAATCCCATTTGAACATTGCAAACTGTGGCTTGCTGAAAGAGTACTAGCTGTTGCTCTTCATAACCCTCAAGGCACACAGCGGATTTCATAATCTGGCCAGGCACTGAAGACCCGCGGTATGCCCAGCTAGCCTAGGCCATTTTGACAGCCATCTCCAGCTACTTTTACCAACAAGACAGGACATCCACTTGCAGGAATTCTGCCTGTCTGCAGACATTTATCACCATCAAGTTGCTGCCCTTTTCTTCAAGTTCTAGGCAAAGTTTCTTTCTGCTGTTTGTTTCATCTCCCCTGTGGTAGTTGCTCAGTCATGACGGAAAGTGAAAGTCTCCCTTTGAGAATAGATCCCTGCCAAGTGGGTGCCTACTGCTTCCTTCGCTGCTGGAAAGGTGTCCAACACATATGGGTGACTGCCCTCTACAGGCTAAGCTCATCCGACTGCATAGAAGTAGGACATAACCTTCCCCAAATAATCTAGAGGCTCACGGTCCTAGGTTCTCCTCCCCCTGTTATGAGCAGCTTACCTTTTGATTTAGCGGTGCATCCCAGGTGATTTACTGTTGAGCACAGCTTTGATAAGATTTCACTAACTGATACAAATGATTTTACATGACTTTTAGGGAAAAGAAGAGTTTAACAGGAAGAGAGACTTCCATGTTTGAAAACTGGTAATAAGTTATCTCATTTATAAACTCAGGATGACACGCAAACAGTCACTACACAGGGATAACTGCACAGTTTCTATAAAATCAAGCAAAACATGCAGCAATTACCTCAGCTGGTTCATCAGTGGGATCCACGGGTGAGTGTGTGTAGTTGCTATTCTTGTAAGTTCCCAGGAAAGGTATGTTCTAGTGAAAAAAGAAAAAGAGTGAGAGATACAGATTAGGCAATGAACACATGGCACAGCCCAAGTCAAGTGACATCAAGATACGATGAAATAAAGTAGGATGAACTTAAGCGAATCTGATAACTTTTGAAACATGCTGACTAATAACTCCGCAGATCTTCCTTTTCCCACAGAATGGACATGATTGATATAGAAAAAATCCCCTTGTATGACCTAAAAGACTATCTTCAGATCTGTGAGTACAGATCTACTCCCTAGTCTGTTCCGTTCTTTGAGATACTCATTGAAGAAAGGGAGTCAATTAGCATCATCTGCAGTGGTCATTTCCACATGCTAATATCTATCAACTATACTGCAAATTCATCAGTTTCAATTTATAAACGTAGAAGCAGTTTCTAGAGAGTCCAAAGCATCTCAGTTATGGATGAAGTCAGGAAACCCAACATACCACTACTTCAATACAGAACAGATGCTGGGATTTTCAGAGCTGCTATGGTGCCCCAAGCCCATTGATTCTGATTGGGAAGATCGTTCAGAATATTCCATAATTTGCATCTTGAGCTGCCTCATTATTAAACAAAAAAAAAAATTAACAGAAAGTCTCTACTACAATTGAAAACACACAAATTGGCATGCTATCAGTCAGTACTAACTGCACAGTTAAAGCAACGCCAGAGCGGATGTTTTGAGAGCAGCTGCTCACACAGAGTTAAGCAGAGAATGAACATTTTCAACAGACTTGTTCCAGACATATCCAGTCCCTGTTCTCTGCAGGAGGCACAAGTAGAAGCACCTGATACCTGGCTTCCACAGCGTGGGGATATTTACCTGAGTCGGACAGCTGAGGGTAATGTTAGCTGTGAAGTCAAAGGAGTCATCTTTCTGGCCTACAGGTTGGAACTAGAAAAAGAAACCAAAAAAAATATATTTTATAGCTGTGTCTTCTCATCTTACGTATGTATAATAATTCTAATCCAAAAGAATATAAATACATCTTTCAAATTTATATAAAGTTGCCTGTATTTACAGATCTTGATTTACCCAAGACTGAAATGCATCTGCATCTTAGAAAGAACATGGCAACTGTATAATAAAACAGCAACTCTAGAAAAGTTTAAAATGGGAAGTGGAAAACTGCACTGCATCAGTTTAAACTCCAGGAGGATTTTGGCAAGCATATACAATTCCTTTGGAATTATGCCAGACCACAAGGTCATAAACTATCTTCTCCTGCACAAAAGAAGATACGGAGAGTCCCTCAATTTTTGTAGCTAAGCTGCATGATGCCATCTCCAACAAAATACTGTCTATACGCAGAAGATTAAACCAAATTTATTTAGAGGTACTGCTTGATTACAAGCAGTCATGTCAGCTGTTAAGACAATACACTCAAACATATAGAAGTTACCATCCAGGATCTGAGATGGTGTCTGACTGCATGCACGCTCCTACTGTACTGCAATGCTAAGAAAAGGGGTTTGCTTAAGCAGCCTTTAACAACTCATTTTTATTGAGTTTTATTCATCCCTAAAGGTAGTGAACTAAAGCCACTTTAATTCCCAACGAGATACTCACAAGGATTTAAAACAGTTTAAGAAATCCATTTTAAGTTGGCATATATACTTAGGATTCTTTTTTGGTGACTCCTCATATCAGTCCACAGAAACATTATCCTTACTAAATATTATCCAACCTTGAGTGACAATTGGTGAAATAAACTGTAAGTTACTCAGCTGAAATCCCTAGAGATTTAGATGATGCACTTACACCACCCCCGCCCAAACACTTTCAGAAGCAAGAGGTTCTGCATTGAGAGCAGTTCTAAATTTGAAGGCATCTGATTAGTGAACTAGCATGTAAGTTCCTCCCGGAGCTCATCACCAAGATCCAGAGTTATCCAGGCCTTTATTGCAATGTTTATTACATAATATTTAAATAGATGATTGTAGTGGTAGCCAGTTCTAGCCAAACACTATCATACCTGCTGCACATGTTACCTTACCATAGCATTCCAGAGAGCCCTGGCAAGCTGTGAATGACCTTTCTGACTTGGATGGAAACAGTCAGGTGCAAAGTAGGAGATGTCTGGATGCCCATCCTGAAAATGAAAGCATAAAGGACATCTGAGTGCAAAAGAATCTGCAGCACTACCCCTTTGGGTTACTGAGGTCAAACCAGAGCTGCTAATTGAAGCTGCATGCTATGTGTATTTGATGCTCCACTGCAGAAAGTATCTTGATTATCTTGTGATACAAAGTAGGTCCGTTAGCTGTTAGAAACGCTTAACATCTGTGTGGCTAGAAGTTTAGATTCTTTGATGTGCCAATCCACACAGAGATAGTAAAAAAAAAAATGGTATTTTGAGCTTGGTGTTCACTCTCCCAAAATTCTCCAGTAAGAACAGGTTCTTCTCCTTCACATATCATCAGAGCTGCTCCTTAGGCAGCATTATGCTGTGCAGTGCCTTCACACGGTAACAAGCATAATACTGATGATGTACCAGAAGGAACAGAATCCATCCCATTTCTCACAGCTGTGTAAGTTTTACAAGTTTGACAGAAGCAAAAAGCAAATAAAACGCTTTTGAGTGAAGGCAGCCAAAGTGACTGAACAAACCAACATAGTGTCCTTTTGAGCACAGCTGTAATTTAATACAGCCACTGGAACATCTGAAGGAAATGGAGTGTGGAAATTTAAATATCTTGGCTTTCATGCAAGTCTACTAAGATGAGAAAGACCTTAGACTACAGATGACAAACAACATTTTTTTCAGAGCACTCCTACCTCAAAGCTTGAGCAGGTTTTGATCCAGTATGTTTGGGCTAGCTCATTAGCTGTCTAGTACCAAAATTTGGATCCATATTTGATCTTCTGCCAAGTTTAGAGGCAGAATTTTCTGTTTGAGAACATGTAAGTTTTGTGCAAGGTATTAAAAAAAAAAACAAACAAACACACACACACACAAAACTCCCTCAAAACCCAAAACTTTAAAATCTGAAAGAACGATTGTGAAATTAAAGAGTTCAGAGATATTTTTTGCCTCCTATTTTTATTTCTGTGTTCTTTCCCTCATCACCAAAATCCATGGAAATTAATTATTAAAAGAACTAGCACAAATAAATAAATAAAAATGAAAGCCTTTTTATCTGTGAAGTTTCAAGAGTTTTTGTCTAGCATGTGAATTTTTCAAATTTGTTATGAGCTATTTCCAGGATCACCCTGATCTAGTGATACCAGTGCCGTATTTTTGCCCCATCTGCTACTAATCCGAGCTGAAGTCAGGAACTGCAGATGTGTGAGAATTAGCACATGGAGTTTCAGTTTCAGAGAAGGTCTGGGTCACTTCCTAGGTTTATAGTTTGCTGGGACTTGCCATGCAAGAAACTGAAATACATTCTAGTTGCCAATGACAAGAAAAAGGGCTCACTGCATAAAACCTCTACCTCCATTAGATCTTGTGTAAACTTCTCTTTCTGTACAGGCACAGAAGAACAGGTTATGGGACATGAAAAAGAGGTGATGTTGTAGTCTCCAGTGAGCACCTATGTTGCGTTAAGAGCTGTAACTTTTTATCTCTGTCTTCATTAATCATGTTATATTTTCAGAAAGAAGAATATTTACATGTCCTTGAAAACAAAAAACAATCTCTTAATTCAAGTTTTGATTAATTTCTCAAAGTAATAATTCATATTGACAGCACAATATGTAGAACAAAGAACTGATAACCATACAAAGAAGTCTAAATGTTTTATACTAAAAATCAGCAAGTTCTAATAAAAAGAATAAAACATGACAAGCTGAAATTATTTTGCATACCAGCTTTAAAGGCTAGATACCCACAGTTAGTCCTTTGCATGCAGGCAAGTGTCTTCAGATCATACCTGATGAAGAGGAATCTTGGGATTTTGGAGGAAAGACTGGACCACCACTGTGAAGTTTTCACGGGTGTCATATCTGCCAGACTCCACCAGTCTCTGAATACCAAACTGCAAGAAACAAAAATGACTATTGACAACCCATCAGCATTTCTCCTTCATAATTGTTTTTTTTGTTTTGTTGTTGTTGTGGGGTGTGTGTGTGGGTTTTTTTTTTTTTTTTTTTTTAAAAAAGAAAGCATGTATCAGTGGGAAGCTTTTGCTTTTTAACTACAATACCCAGGGTCCCTGGCAAAAAGGTGAGCCTTGCAAAGTGGCTGGGACTGCAACTGTTTTTTGCGGGGACAGGATTTTGTTAACTAAAACCTGACCTAGCCATCTGTACTAGGGAACAGAATTTTGCTGAACAGCTTCACTGCTGGTTTTGGTCATATGGTATTCTCGATAACATCAGATTACCTCCTGAACAGCTCACAGGTCCCATTTGGGTAAAGCATTGCTATGATTTGCAATAAACAAAGAGGTTGCTGGGTATTCAAGAGCTCACCTCAGCTGAAAGCAAAGTGACTGCACCACTCCTGATAAATATACCTGGTAAGCTCTGGTAGCTTCTCTCACCATCGTTACATTTTGTGAGTTTTCTTCTCCTAGGAGGACACAACTACACAGGTAGCTGTGGGAGAGGTTAGAGAAGTAAACAGAAATACAGATAGTTAAAACTTGAGAATGCAGAAGTCTCCCTTTGCCACCCAAAGCCCTATAATATGGGAGTAGCAAGCAAATCTTCGGACTAGTGTTTCTGTGAAAGCGTCTGATGGTTCTTGCCATCTTTCAAGATTTCAAGTCTTAGTCTTATTTTCTGCCTCACATAAGTAATGTTACTCTAATACCAGCCTAGTTTCACCCCCAGGCATATTGAGGTGATAGTCACTCTACTGTACCTGTTTATGTCCCACTCATTGTATTGAGACACCCAAAGACCCTGCAGCCTGACAGAGGAGCACATAATTCCCTCTGGGATTAGAAAACCAATCTTTGAAATTTACTGGCTGCATTACCTCTGAGCCAATACCTTTCCAGGCAACAATTCCTTTTGCACTCCTGAGGCACAGGACAGGTCCCTGTCTTACAGGGTTAGCAAAGAATGCTAATTACCCATCTCAATAAAGCCTCTAACTAGGAGAAACTTGCCTACTCTGCAAATACTTCGCACTTCCTCAAAAGGCCTGGAAATCTACACACTTGTGGACTTTGACCCCACTTTGAGAAACTGCGTACCCATAACTTTAACCCAAGGCCAGTGAGGTCTACCTTACGTATCACGGGAAGCTTTACAGTTCTAGATCTATTCACTTCACACAGGGCCTCTTGGCATAAGAGTCCTAATCTTTAATGCACAGGCATCTATACCCTAACCCTAGAAAGAGGAGCCTGGCTCACTACAAACTACACTAGTTTGGCGAATTTTGTTCACTTGAGACCTATAAGACCATGACAGCCTTAGCCCAGAGGACTCCATTTATCCAAACGTTAAGTGAAGATCGAGGGAAGCTGAGCTCACCTAATAAACTAATGATCTGTGGAGTGCTAACTTAGTGTTGCTACTCTGAGGTCAGAAAAATAGAATAGCTTCAATCGTTCTATCACGTCTGAAGGTCAAACAGCCTCATAATACTTTCAGCCAGAAAAGGAACGCTGACGTACAAATCAAATCCTCCCCTTTCTTAACCAAAGTCCAAGGAATTATTATGTGAATGCACCCTAAGAATGTGATCCTACTATGACCTCGAAGGGAACCCAGCAGCCCAAATCAGTTCCATATGCAGTTTCATAAAGGTAAACTACCTTTAATACAACTCTGCCTCAAGTCTAAACTTGTTAACCCAATCCTTGAGCAAAAAGTTAAGCCTGTTACCTCACCCTTTCTGATAATACCAACTCTCATTCTTTTGCCAGGGGACTTTACCACTTTGCTCATGTTAAATATTGTCTTGTGCACTGCTTTAGCCTACACCTTTGAAGTCACAATGAGATTCGTAACTTCCAAAATCTGAGATGCAATTTACACCACTGTCTTCTAACAAGCCTGGTTCTACCCCTAACCCTGGTAAGCCCTCCCAGGCCCAAATTAAATCCTCATACAGCTAGCTCCTCTCCAGCCCCAGCCCCAGCCCCAAATCCTATGCAAGCCCTACTACCTCTGATGTCAGCTCTAGATAGGCAACTTCTAATCTCTCTAATCCTAACCTAAGGAGCCTCACCACCTTCTACCCTCATCCTAACCCAAGTATAACTCTAGTGTAGGTGTTATAAAACTTCTGCTACCTTAATCATAGCCCAGGGTGCCTTATCTGATCCAGCTATAACATCATGAGTCCTTATGCATCTCAGCTAGGAAGCCCAGTCCACTATTTAGCACAAACTCCTCGACCCTCCAGAGCCACAAACTTTGCCAAGGAACATCTTTGAGCCACTGTACCAACACTGATCCAGAGCTGCTTACAGTTTGTAACCAGAGGTTAGTATAAGGAGCTGCCTGGAATACCTGCAGACAGCTCTACTTGTTCTGGGAGCCTTTTAGGTGGAAGCCAAGATAGGCAACCCCATCAGGCAGGATGGTGTCAGCACTGAATGCTACGTCCGTAGGACTCTAACGCTATCTTTGAACATCAGGTCAAATGATGAGAAGAATGGAACAAGAATGTGCTTTATTAAGCCTAGGTGCAAAAGGAAGTAAATCAAGCCTTACTCTGCCAAGTATGTGGGGCACTGAACTTGAGTATCCACAAACAACTGCCTCAGAGGGAGAAGGTCCATTACTTCAACCAGATTCACTAGAGCTTTTGGAACCTGAAAGGAAAGTCATATCTTAGCTTAGAAGGAACTGGTAAGGCAGCCTTCAGTGCGTTTATTGTATATCACAAAGTCTAGCCATTCAACCCCCTTCTCCTTTCTGCTTTGTGGAAAAAACAATTTCTCTGATCCAGCTGTTGATCCTTACCCAGTCCCATGGTCCAGCAGCCCTATCTGTCATTTCAGGCAGCATCTCTCTACCCTCAGGTAGAGGAAACAAAAGAAAATGTTTTTTATGGAAGTTAAGAGTACATTTGGTACCAGAATAGATGGAACAAAGCTGGCACCACTCAGTTATATACACCAGTAAAAGCTAGAACGGTAGGACAGTTTCACAGCACTTACCTGCTCATGCAGAATGTCAAGGGTTTCTTGAATTCGTCTGGTGAAATTTATAGCTGAGTAATGATCCTGATAAAAACAGAAGAAAAGGGGTTACTGCTAATGGAGACAAGACAGACATAGGCATGCCCACAGCCAACTGATAAGCTCTCATAAAGTCAGGTGAAATCATTACTAGGCAAGGACATAGCTATAGATACAGCTATAGTTAATATCTGGCAGCAGCAGCAAAGACACCTATCAAGGCTCCTGCAGAAGCAGGAAATTCACCAAGCACAAGGGGTACAGGAGAACTGAAATTGCTCATAAGTTCAGAAGTTAGTGTACTAAAGGTAAAAGAGTAAGAGCTGTCAGAGAAAGGTGGCCTCTCCTCTCCACCTGCCTGCTCAGCTCACACGATCTCCTTAGGGCAGTCCTCAAGACTGTCCAAAGCAGCATCAAATTTGAAGGATACTGAGCACTCCAGCAGCTTCCCCAATATACACTTCACCTGTTTCTAGCACCTCCCTGCACTGTGAGTTCTGGGATAATGATAAGCATTGCTGGTTTGAACTGATGGTGGTTCAAAGCAGTATAACTCTTTTTTGGATGTCTAATCAGGCATTGCTGGCAGTAGAGGAGTTACCAGATGACAGAGGAGTGAAGCTTTTCTTTCCTTTGCCCCTTCCACTTTTTGCTCATGGTCAGAAAAGACAGTAAAGATGACAGCGGCTCTTACCCTGGTGAGCCGGAGGGAACACAGCCTTCCTGCTCTGTGGCTGGTAACCGTTTCTACATCAGGGCACTGTCAGCAGCACATACAATTCACGATCATCCCTGTTAAAAGCTTTAGGGATTCATGGATTTCCCTTAAAGTGTTTCTACAGTGACATCATAGTCCTACTACTGTTTCAGTTAACCATTTCTGCTACTCACAGGGTCTTTGCAATAGTTGCACAGATCATTGCCTCCAATATGCACTGTTATGATCTTCCAGTCAGCACTGAAGTCAATTCTCTGTGTAACAAAGACGAAAACAATGAGCCCAATTTTCTTCGGCTGATATGAACACAGTATCTTTGAAGATGGCTCTGTCATGGGAAGCAACACCTCTTTCCTTTCACGCTGTAAGATTATAGTCCCATACAACTTACAGGATCAGTTTTCATTAGTCTCAGGAGAGTTCTTGCTTGGTCTGGTAATTGCCTGTGAAAAAGGACAATCAGTGAGTGAGAGAAACCCTTAGGGAGATCCCACCCTTAGGGAGAGATCAGAACTTCGCTCTTCAGACACCTTAAATTCTATGCACTGTCAGATATCAGAAGAGTCAAGCGAGGAGATGCTACAATTCCCATTTTGCAGTTATCAAATTACACGTTTGCCTCTTTATGGAAAGTAAACATCAAATTGATTGATACAGATCTCGTGCAAGTTCACTAATTAGTCTGGAGCCATAACTTTAGCTTCCTATTACACCTAAAACAGCTGAAACACCAGTCACTGAACAGCATCTTGTTTGTTTGCAGACGGTCTGATTGGAACTGGGCTGCTATCAAACTATTCCTTGTGGACTACTGCAACAAAGGAATCACATGTCCCAGTACTTAACTGACCTCCTGAGAAAGTCTGTGCACGTACCAGGGAGGTGTGCATAGAGTTGGGGTTTCTGTAGCTTGCACCCAGAGTCAGTACTTAAATTTTCAATTGTGTACAAACAGCTTTGTGCATTCTACCTTTCTAGGCTAATTAAAAAATCCAAGTGACTTTCAACATTACTCAGACAAGTTAAGATGACAGCCTTGCTGTTTTGCAATAGCTGTGTATGCACTCCCTCTTTCATGTATATACACATGTATACAAATGCCGTGAATTTTGAGTTACCTAGACTGAACACTTCAACCTTGTTCCACTGCTCTGACACATTTGATCCTCAAATATGCACAGAGTAAAGAACATGGCTGGAAAGCTTTGGCCTTCCAGGCAATTCTGTAGTTTGGGATGAGCTGCATTGCTCCCAGGCTCTTATTAGAAACACTTCACTGACTGTATATCATCTCTGGAAGCACATCAGCTGACATTAATAAGCATGACACACTTGTTTTGTACAGTAACCACAGCTCAGCTCTCCTTTGCAATCCTATATTCACTGTAGAATTGAGATATTTCCCACCACCTCCCTCCAAATGAATATTGTTCTAACACTAATATAAGTGTATTTACTGGAGAATGAGGCCTGACATACAGTGTCTGTGTCAGAAGCAGATGTATGAATCTAATAGTTCTGTTCACTCTTGCCCTTGCCCAATGTCACAACCTACTTATTTATATCCCAAAGCTATCACAGGCCACAAGTTGTCAGGATTTTCCTTCTGTTCTCACTGTGGAAGCCCTTAAGTTAGGGCACTGATTTCAGTATTCATCCGGAAGAAAACACTTATTGAACAGGCAGCCTGCAACACCTTAGATTTCTCATGCAGTCATTGAACTGCTGATGCATCCCAAGTCAAAACAGTCAATAAGATCTAACAACACTGTGAGTGAAGCAGCGTCAGTAACCACCCATTCTTGAGCTTTACTCTGCAACAAATTTAGATCTTGATCAACAGAAACAGTCTGCTAATGGGAAACACTGATATTCACAGTTCCTAACACCTGTTCTCTCTTCTGAGCCTTCAACTCTTCACCTCATTTTTTCATCTTAAAGCAGAGTTGTCAAAAAGACTAACTCAGCAACATGCTTTAGCTACATGCTCAACTCCAGCACGTACTTAAGCACTTTGGCAATAAGAGGAAAGGGGATAGGCTTAAGAATATTTTGCCAGATAAGGTCTGGACTCCTACATTGCCATCAAGTTCACTAAGGATCTCTTCAAGGCAGCCACTGATTCCATCTTCATAAACCTCCATCTGGTTTTCAAAAGCTGGTGAAGTTACAGAACTACTTGGTTTCAGTAAGTGCTCATCACCTTTGGAAACCAGTTTCCATATTGGCACCCAAAAATAAAACAGACCAGGTAGCAGTTCTGAGATATCAGTATTAGATGCTTTCACTCATGGAGCATCCTCTGGACGACAGGGGAAAAAAAAAAAAAATTTTGGCTGATGAAGAGTAAACCCTGGATTACATTATCATTCCAAGCTCATATATGTACAGCTGAAGGAACATTTCCTCTCTCCCTTATGTTGTGATAGTTTTCAATGATTGTACTAGGAGACATGTAACTCCTCAGATACATCAAGGACCACAAAGTGACAGGACAGAGCCCCCAAAGAGGCATTTCCAGTTCAGGGATGTTACCGAAGAAATTCATGTCTCAATGTAAACTACTATTCTTTATTCTTTCTACAGAGAGGTAATAAATAGAGAAACAATAGAAGACTAGCAGGAATCATGAAGGATTATCTTCATCTCCCTGCTAAATATTTACAAAATAAAAACATGGGTGCAGAAGTCAAGATAGCTCTACTTCATGCTTATCCAGTGCAGCTGGATGGGAAGGGAAGAGACTAATTGGTATGGATGAAAAAGACAATTGTCCTTTAAACTAACATCCATCAACTCATTTCAAATGGTTAGCAAATAGCTAATAGTAATGCCTTGGTTGCTACTGATACGAATGGCACTCATACTGGTGACCTAAAAGGGAATATTATCCTGTTTCAATCCTTCTCCCACTCCAAACAGCCTCTTTAAGCTTTAACTGATGCAAAATGCAAGGTCACCATCTATCTCATTCTTTCCTGTAACAAAGAAAAGCTGAAGTTAATATGGATACATGCTCCATATAGCAGTCTGTTCATCAATTCTCATGAATGTCTGAATCGGAGACGTAATCCATGTATGTGTTTCACTGACACAAAATAATAGAAACAAATTCAGTCACCACTATGAAATGAAATCCTTGCTCTCAGGTAAGGGAGGCTGTATGATACTTCAGGGCATCTAACAGACTATTTCTGTCCAGAAAAATAACTATTTACTGAGAATACTACTATGAATCAGAAGTTACTCAAGGCCTACAGGAGAGCCACAAATAATACCTGATAAACCTTAACTGACATCACTTAGATGTAGCAAACTCAAAGACCTCACTTAGCTCTGGGATTTCACTTCCAAGAGCTCTTTGGAAATACAGAGGGGTTTTTTTGTTTTTTTTTTTTTCAAACAAAAAAGAAAAACATTAAAATATGGAGATTTGAGTATTATCAACTAACAATGTCAAATCCAAGCATGGTCTGCCAGATCCCCTGCCTAAACTGTGACTGAATTCCAGCAACCATCTGTTTTGTTAATCAAACAGCCTTGATTCCTTCGATAAAAAGCCAGGGATTTCTAGGATAAGAGTATATCAAAGTTCAACTTATATAGCCTCCCAGGTGTGATTAGAAGTAAAGGGCCAAATTCAGATGGCTGCAAGACGTTAACAGCCCCAATAAATTGGCAGAACTGGCTGCAACTGCACCAGGTCTGCAATGCACCAAAACCCATATGTGACTGACTATCAGCAGTTCTCCTTTCTTCAAATTCCAGACTGACTATTTTTTCTCTTAATCCTGCCTGCCTATCCAAATGCCTGAGGACAGAATTATGGAAAGTTTCATCTAGTTTTTCTCCTGATAATTCTTTACCAACTCACTACATATTTTCTTAAAACATCCCTGCTCTCAAAGATTTATAAAGAGAGAACTAGATAAACAAATGAATGTAAAAGACAAAGGGCAGAAAACACCACCACCAGTTTCTGCTAATTTCTTCCTCGTGGAGCACATAACCAGGACTGCTGGTTTCATTTGAAAGTTGAGCTAAGCCAATTTTCAGCACCAGCTAGACTGGTTTTGCTTGCTGTTCAGAGCAAGTTATGACAGCACATGAGACAGTTGAAAGGGAAGCTCTTAGATGAGATGAGCTCTTAGATGCACCTGAAAGGTAAAACAAAAAGCTACATACTCAGCCTCTGCTCCAGGAACTGCCTGGTTAAGGAATGCGTCTGATTCATTCACACTCCCTGTCCCAGTCGAATAGCCCACGATCTTAGCATTGAACTCTCGAAAGATGTCTGAAAAAGAAGGATGGCAATGAAAGAAAGATGACTTTATCTGTTTCCTGCCTCCTGGGATGAGCACACACCAGCCCTGCCACCTTTTTGCTTTCAGACAGCACAGTACAGTTGCTGCAGTCCCCATTCAACTAGCATCTGCCAAGCAGAGGCAAGAGGAGCAACCAGCTGGCAGTGGCTCAGGCAGCACTGGGTCAGCTTGTGTACTCTGTACTGTCACCAGGGGATAAGATAAGCAGAATTCAGAATTTTATTGTGTGCAGCTATCCAACTTATTCAGTGGATAAAGCCCGAATTAAAACCCTCAGAGTCACCTGATGGTGACTTTGAAGTGAGTCTGAAGGACTCTAGGTCTGTAGGAGCTATGAGTGCTAGATTTCAGCTAGAGGTTTTGGGTCCCTCATGGCTATGCAACATCTCACACCATTCACAAACTTGGAGAAAACCTCAGATGCATGGTTCAGAAGTACTCCCACCTTATGCTCTGTTATCTCAATAGTAATTTCCAAAAGGAGGTAGACAGCAGATTTCTGAGCTGATAATGAAAACAAAGCCACATTATGAACTATGAATGCTACTTTAGCCTCAGAGATCCAATTAACCACATTTTACTGGTTAAAAAAGGCTTTATTGAAATGTAATAGCATCTAGTGAATCCATTAATTGCTTATTAATAAGATATTCTTGTTACATTCTGCTCATAATGATCAACAGAGACAGCCAGTTTATTCCCCCTTCTTCAGGTGGAAGTTTATTGTTACAACTGACCCAAACTGAAACTCTGGTGTCTTTACATTAACAATGAAGTGAGTTAGGAGAAGCTGCAGGTTTCTGTGAAAAGAGTTTAAAATTACTCCTCTCAGGTTTTATGTACAAGTAGTCGGCTATATTTACCAAAGATGCCTGCTCTATGCAAGAATTCCTTTTTGGAAAAAAAAAAAAAAAAGTGGTAGAATATTTATTAAAAGCAAATGCTAATTGCATCACAAACATGGACACAACGGAAAGAGAAAAGAAAGGAAGGGAATTTCTACTTTCTTCTCAGTGTTACTGATGAAGCAAACATTTTTTCATTAGTCTTAGGCTACCGTTTCTTTGAAAAGTAGTTCTTGTGAATTACTCTCAAATATCTTGAGGGCATTTAGGAAGATCTCTCTGCAAACATACCCTTCAAATCAGCCCATTCCCTTTTTAATCTGGCCAGTCAGAGTTAGGAAAGCATTTACTTACTAGGTAGAGTTGTCACATTCTCTAAAGAAGCATCCCCTCCAATACTAAAAAGAGAAAGGGAAATCACAGTCACTCATCTCTTAGCGAGACACAGACAATAAGGAAAGAGAAAACCTACCACACTGTCTGGAAAAGGTGAAGGGCAATTAATTTGGAAACTATACAGTCTATCAGACTAAGTGGAAGGGGCCAAAAGCAGAAGCGTTATTTGGGAGAACAGCTGAAGTTTCCATGGTACAAATACTTGTCAGAAGGATATATGTTCTTGCAGCCATACAGGGGTTTGAGTCAATCATTATGAAACGGCAGAAAAATGCCCGAGAAGGCTGCATCTTTGAGCAAAAGAGCCCTAGAGCACTGCAGACTACAAGGCAGCTTTGCAGACCAATTTCAACCTCATGAAGCCACCACCTTACGGCAGCACCATGCAGCCAGCCCCTCTGGTGACAGAGAGCTGTGACAACAGCTCCTACACTGCTTCCCACACAGAAGTATGTTCTCTCAGGTTTTTCAGTTGCTGGAACATACTGGGACACTCCAATTTATGGAGAGAGATTATGACATTATGGAGAGAACTGCTTCACCTTCAGCTGTGCTGTGTTGCCACACCAAAAAACTCTAGCCTTTCATGAGTGTGTGTGTTGCATGTGGTAAGTTCCCCAGTTTAGCAGAAGCTGTTTCCCCTGGTCCAACAAAGTTTTAGGAACAGCAAACTTTGAGAAGAATTCCCCAAAAGCGAGAATTCCCAATTTGTTCGGCCAGTGATTTTTCTCCTATTTGGTAGATCTCACCACAATTCCTCATCTCACCACAGAGGGACAAACGGTCATGAGCAGTGCAAGACTAAAGCATGAGAGAAGTCAAAAGGCTGACTGAAAAAGTTGCTGAAAACACTTAGTGTAGAATCACATTTGTAACAAAATCAGAACTCTTCATAAGAAAAGCTAGCCAGAGAAGCAACTCTTTTCCACTATCTGACGGCTGAAAGTCCTAAAACAAGTAGGAGGGGATAGTATTTTTCACGGCAGAGAAGACATATTTCCTCATCACCTTGGATGAAGGCTTACCTCCAAGATAGTCCTCGGTATTCAGTGCTCAAATCCATGAGATTATCTGAGGCAATTCCTGTACCAGCCTAGACATTAGTTTTCATTAACCAAATGAAAGTAAAGCACAATTACTAACACAATAGTCATTCATAGTCCTTTTACTTATTTTTGAATGGGTCACCTAATAGCTTTAGAAGGCATCTAGCTTTTCCCCAAACTTCCTCCTGAAAAATGCCTTCAATTCTTTTCACAAGTACTCACAAACGTTAGATTGCACATGACACAATAAATATGACGGAGCAGTGGAATGAAGGTTTTCTTCACATGGCTCTAGATGAAGCAAACAACTCGTTGAGAGCTGCATTGCTCATGAATGATGAAAACACCTCAAACAAACCCATAAAAATTTCAGGTGAATGATACGCAACACTGTATGAATCCAATACAGACAACGAAAACAGATATCTCAAACAAAAAGTCCTGTAATAACATTACACTATTTTGAAAAATACTGTGCTACACAGAGAAACTTATAATAGTATTACAGCAAGGGGAAAAGCACTTTCTATGCTCACACTAAACAACGGGGCAAACTGACAACTACATCCCTATTTAAAAACCACCAGAACTCAAAAGCAGAGTATTTGCCTGCAGCAATACTGTAGTGTCATATTAAATTTGAGTACCAGGTAGTACTGCAGAACAGCACAATACCAGGTAGACTATCCATCGCTGCCTCAGATTAAACAATAATACTACATTTTCTCCTACATATGAGCTTGGTCAAATTAATGAAAGACTGGAGTTCAATATCTGCGCATTGGCCAAGTGCGGCTCTGAGCCAGTAATGCACAAATGCTGTTTCTATGAAAATAGATTTTACTCTCAGTTCCTGCAGACTATACTTAGAAGCAAAACACCTGTAGGGACCTGTTTATTACCATATGGCAACCGCAGCTAGATACTGACTATCTTGCCTTTGTCAATATTGCAGATTTGCATTCAACTACTTCTATTTACTTCGGTAGCCTCTTGTGTGTAGGAGTTTTAGCACCACGCCTGCTAGATAGTTGTAAAGGCTTAATAGTTTGTACGCACAATGTCTTTGTTATTCAGGCTCAGATTCAGAGAGCCTAAATTCCAGTTACATCTTTCTGCCCAGTGTTTCCTATGGGCTGGCTGTAGGATTTCAGAGGCTTTGGCCAATAGGAAAACATTAGGCAGAAAGATGTAATCAGAATTTAGCATGTCTGGATCTTGATACAAATTCTTTCTAGTCTACCAAGGATAGTCAACCTTAGTGAGAATTACGTCTTCGGAAGAAACTGGCTATGAGTTAAAACGGGTACAATAAAGAGAATGAATATTTTCTGAAATGGATGAAGAAGCCAGAGGATGCACTCCCTTGTAGATCCATATCTTGTTATTCAACATCTCTTAGTCACGCTCTGTTCCTGAAAGAACTGAGGCAAAAGGACAGGTTTGCTAGTTCATTCTTACTCAGGAAAAAAAAAAAAACCAACAAACAACCCCACAACTCTGAAACACTTAGCAACCTAAGGCTTGTGGCTAACTTCTATTAGTTTCAACATCACTGATTTCTTCTGTTTCCTATTAAACAAACCATTTAAACACCTCCTTAAACGATTTGCCTGTGTGCAAAAGCATGTGAAAACGTGAATGGAGGAACAGAGCGCTGGAGAACTGATATCATCTTTCTTGTTCTAGCTACCAGCTCCGTCATCACCCGTGAACGAATGGATCTTTACTTCCAGGTACAACAGCTATTTCACCTCCACTAGGGCAGGTACATGTTTGCAGTTTTATCAAGAAAACAGTAAAAACATTATCTTCTTACTGTAAGGGAATCCCCAAGGGCTGCTATAATTTTCACATCAGCTGGCTTTAGGGCATGCACTGTAAAAGGAAAGAGATGCAGTTGAACCTGCATAGGAAACGATTGCACTTTTTCACCACTATATGTGTGAAATGTGCCATTGTATATTCTGATGCCCAACCACGTTGTTTTTGCGGTACCAAGGTGTTGAAACAAATTCTCTCCAGCTAATCTTACGTGGTTGTAGTGGCAGCATGTGCACATTAACTAGTTTTTTAATGGCTAACATTACTACCAAAATAGACAGAAGAGCAAGGAGAAAATAACAATACATTGTCATCAATATCGAGCACCGAGATAAGGGTGAAACAGTAGTATTAGGGAAAGTAGGAATGGCATACTAAATGCTGTAAGAAGGCAGAGAAAGACTAAGGAGACAGCAATATGATTTTCATTGAAAAAACTGAATACTGTGATGTCCCGGGCTAACACGGTGGAAGATGGACTTCTAGTCCCCGTCCCAAAAACGTAGGTGATAACATTTATAGGCTACGTCAGCAGCCAAGTTTGGATTTTCTCATGAGATGTTTTGAAGCTCTTCACTGTCAGTGAGTTAAGTGGAGCTACTCAGTGAGACTGTTACCTCGTGTGATAGTTTGGCGTTACATCTATTAAATGGCTGCTGAAAGACATCTTTACTGAGCAGCATTTTTTTTTCTGGAAGTGCAGCAGTCATTTCAGCAAAACAAAACCAAAAAACCACCCACAGTCTTGAAAGAGTTGGAAGTCATTCAGTCTCTAGACAAAGCAAGTAAGACTACCTGAAGTTGCAGAAGGGGAGGAGGGAGTCCTGTCCTCACATAGCAACTGGCTTCCATAACTCTAAAGAGGAGAAGAGGAGAGCAAAAAGAAAGCTGAATAGCATTTGACTAAGAAAAACAGTCAGTAGCATCTAGCTATCCTCCTAACAGAGGCCAAGTGGATAAAGCAGAGCCTGTCTAGTACTTAATTAATCAGAAAGGTCTTGGTTGCTCAATTCAGTAGTAATATTCAGTATTAATCAGATTAGAGTAGCATCCTGTGCTGATAACTGTGCTGTCTGAGCATGTGCTCTTACAGGTGTTTCTGGATGCATTTTGCCTAACTCAAGGAGCACTTTCCTGTTCTGTGCTGAGCTCTCCACCTCCCAAACCCCTCCGGCCAAAGACTGATTTCGCCTGTCGTGCAAAGCATGACTCATCTGGTTGCCACACAAGAACATATGCAGCAGGGTAGCAGTGGGATGGTGGTGTTGACACTTACCAGAGTTTGGTTAGGGTACGTGTAATTACTGTTCTTATATGTCCTCAGGAAGGGCTCAGCCTACAAAATAAGGCAATTTGAGTCAATGCAAAGCATCAGAAGAACACACAGGGATTTCCATTCCCCAAGCTTCAGTTCTCAGATGTCTGTAGGTGATTAATAACTTGATGCAAACAAATTCCAGGGATTAAAAAAAAAAAAGACCTTTTTGAAATCCATATGACAGTGTAAACCTGGGGTACTGTTTTCACATAGCCAGAATTCACAGAATGTTCCCCAAACCCTGAGGCCTTTAACATGCCTTTAACAATAAGACTGTTTGTTGTTAAAGGCACTGCCCAGGCGGATTGCACCTATGCCAGCCAGGACAGTTACCCTGGCCTCTGCAGAGCTGTGCTGACTGATGCCTTTGTAGGAGCCAGTGTTGCTCCGTTTCCCCCACTGAAGCCGTTCCATTCAATGTGGATACTGAAGTCTAGATGGTCTGACTAGGTAGCCTGAACACTCTGCCTGCATGTTGCAGTCAACCCATGCATGGCTGTGAGGAAGTTTATCCCCAGGACAAGGCTACCCTCCATCTCACGGGGCACGGAGAGGGCGTTTTTATTGCTGCAGGTGGTAGTGGCACAAAAAACGCAGGGGAGAGAGAGACCTTTCGTAGACACAGTACTCCAAGCTGTTGGTAAAGGCTCACCCAGACTCCCAGCCATCCCCAGCAGCACCATACACAACAGATACCCTTGTAATTTACCTCATTTGGACATTTGAGAACAATTTCATTTTCCAATTTCTGATTATCTGTCTTCTGCCCTACAGGTTCCAGCTGTGAGGAAGACAGGTGGGGGGAATGCAGAAGAAAAGCACATGAGCACAGGAGAGCAACCACTGGAAATAGTCTCTACAGCATAGCAAGAGGATTGTCATGCCCTGCCTCTGCTCTGACCGCCCCCTCCAATCACAGTACCTGCTGTCCCAAGATTTCTTGCAAGCTGTTTTCCACACACTAAGCAGCCTATCTTATTCCCATGATATGTCAGGAATGTGATGCAATAATCAAAACGCCAGGTACGCATTATCTCCTGAGAGAAGTCCAACACCCATAGCCTTAGCATGTCTTGGGATGGACTATTTTGATACGGGTGGTTTAATAATTGAAGTGACTTTCCTTCAGATGAACCCTCTTTTCCTTTGTAACGGCAACTATCACTTCAGAGGAGATAGGGCTATCTACATAGAGCTTCCCTAGGTTTTTTTACTGCCAAAGGCCAGGCAGAGAAGACGAGGAATAACCAAGATAACCTTTGGAATCTTACCATGTTGTTCCACAAAGCACGCGCGGCCTGGGAATGACTCTTCTGGCTGAAGTGGAAACAGTCAGGGGCAAAATATGAACTGTCAGGCAACCCCTCCTGGAGAATGAAACAAGGGTTGCGTTACCCCCTCTTTTTTCCAGTGCAACATCCCAGCTGATTTTTAACCAAAGTAGCCACAAAGGCCTTTGAGACCAAGGTAACTGAACCAGGCCAGCGAGCACTTGTAACTCAGAACTGAGAAGCCCTTTAAAGCTTTTTAATACATGATTTCCAGGGTTATAAGGAACACAGACAATCCTGATTCTGGGTACAGAATATCTGGGCACAGATAATTGATCACATTCTTAATCTCTCCTGACACTCACACCTTGTAGTTTTTTGTAGCATTTGTTTCGATACTAAAATTCTTCCATTTGCCAAAATACTGGAAGGGACTTGGTGATGTGTCAGGGGTGTGGGTTGAGTGTTCCCTGGTGAACTTTGAACTAAATAGCTACTGCATGACTGTCTGTGATTGCAGGGGAGTGGCTTCCGTGCCCCATATGGGGTCTTCAAAGCCCATATTCGTATTTCCCATTTTTTCCAAGCTATTCCATAAGTGCTTTCTGCAATTTTGGATGTTAGCGCTACAGAATACAATAATTATTAACCCAGCATAATGCTGGTCACATTTACAGCAAAGGCAATTTTGAGAAGTCAGGGGAATGGCATTTGGATTGGATGTAGGGGTTTTTTTGTTGTTGTTGTTGCTTTTTACCTGTGTCTTTGGCATACTGACATTCATCATAAATGGCTGCAAAACCACAGTGAAATCTTCCCTAGTGTCATATCTTCCACTCTCCACTAATTGGCGGGTTCTCTCCTAAAGAGAGAGTAAAAAAAGTTGTCACTGTTCCTTCTCTTACATTCAGATCATTGGGGCCCTCAGTAACTTACAGCTCATCCAGGGATTCCTCCACCCTAGCGCAGAAACTGAGAAGTGACTGTGACTTCCAGCCTATGCCAGGCAGCAAGTGCAGAGGTTTGAAACACTTATTTCAGATTTCATCGCAAAAAGGCAGCCTGTGGATTGTTACCTGACATAGGCAGGGCCCTGCTCATTAACTAGATTTTCCATCAAAAACCAGATTCTTCCAGAAGCACTGAAGTATCCTCAGTTTGGCTGGCATGCCATCCCTGAGGTTCATTCTTGAGTTATCGCATTCTTTGACTTAATCTGATTTCCAACAAGATAAGCTGTCAAAAAACTGCTAGTTCCCTGATATACTCTACTTTCTATGGCTCTTTAACAAGTTGTTCCTTATCTGCTTTGTTATTTCATTGAATTAGAGTTGTAAAGATCTTGAGCTGTACAATTACCCAATAGCCTCCTCCTATCTGCCCCTGCCTCCCTCCCTTTTTTTTTTTTTTTTTTTTTAAATCACCACTATAAAAATGTCATTAAAGTGAACAGAAACTGTCCTGCAGCTCCAAATACCCCTTCAGCGGTCCCTTGATCAAGTCATTTCCAACAGAGCCTGGTATCGCTGATAAAACTGTCTGTTTATTATTCCCAGTAGAACAAAAAGAGACTACTGCTAGGAGAGAAGAACAGAAGGACTATGTTTAATCTTTTAAAAATTCCATTTGCCTTACCTGATACTTTTTATTGAAGGAGATCAATGTATTGAATTCGCTGGAATTGCCATCATAGTTTAGTACACAAGGGCATAAACTCCTGCAGAAAGGAACAATATTCTGAGATCTGCTTGTCTTGCTGAAAAGCTGCAGAGTAAAAAGTTTCTCTGAAGGGGGATTTTTTGAAAGACTACTCAATGATAACATTGACTCTCTTCTGAGTTTGCTCATATCCACAATTCTTGAGCAGAAACACATATTTATAAAGGATGAATTCAGGCATATAAAATAAGGAAAAGGTTACAAGCAAGCAAAAAACTATTTGTAGGTGCACCTGTGCAATATGATTTGCTTCAGTAGAATTATACAAGTATACTAAAGGATGGAGTTTCCACAAATTTGTTCTAATCTGCTGTAGTGGTCACAAGTGGCAGTGAGTTTCACACTGAGGGTGGTGGAGCACCAGAACGAGTGGCCAGAGAGAGATGCTGGAGAATCGCCATCCCTAGAGGGATTCAAAACTTGACTGGACAAAGCCTGGAGCAACCTGCTCTATACTTGAAGCTGAAACCCCCATGCACAGCAAGGTCAGAGAAGATGACCCCAGACATCCCTTCCAAACTGAGCTATTTTAAGTTTCCATGAACTAGCGCTGGTCACCTTTATCCCTTCCTGCAGTTTTGACCCTTCCAGCACATGATTTTTTTTTTCCTTTCTGTTGTTCTCCCTTCCTGGACACACATCATTATCACCTGAGATACCCAAACAGGAACAAATCATTCTTTTTTAAAAACCTGTCATGTGATCATAATAAAGCATCCCTGAGGGAGCTCCTAGAAAAATACCTCCTACAGTGGTGTAGTTATTATGTATCAAGAATATACATATCCCTACCTCCAAACTGGTAAGTCTTAATGGAGAGTAACTAACATGATTTACTTCTGTAGGACATCTATATGAAAGACAGTACAAAGCTAAGTGGTATTTTCAGAAGTGTTTTGGTAACATAAGCTAGGCAAAATTAGGGGAGATTTTTTTTTTTTAGGTTACTGGCTATTCTTGGAAATAAAAGAAACAAGCTTTCAGGAACAAAAGCCTCTTTCGGGTACTTCTTCAAATCAGCTCCATGGCATTTATTATTCTACATAAGGTCTGCTTAGTACCCTGTAAACTTGGCTTGCTGCCAGACAGGAACATGTTAAATTCAGCATGACGCTTGATACCTGTAACCTTCCCCACCATCGTTTCTTGAGATAATGTAATCCTACAGGCTCCACTAACTATATCCTTGCATGAGGACTAGGATCTTGAAATATGCATGCACTCTATCCGGGAACCTTTACTAAAGAAAAATTTACAACAGGATATCTGAAGCACCAGCACTCTGAGTTTAGGAGCTAATTTGCCTTTGACAGTCACCATGGAGCCCTTAACTCACAGCAAGAGATTTGCAGCTACGTTCCTCCTGTAAAACTGCCTTCTTCTGCGGGGCCCTTCAGGCGTCCGTGCTAGCCCAGCCAGGTGCTGCCAGGCTGCGGAGTCCCTTGTGGCTGACGGGATCCAGCCAGACAGTCACAAAGCAGATGTTTTAGTGAGGTGGCCAGATACAGGAGATCCTGTAGTTCTCCAAGACTCTAGCCTCCAAGCTAACCATTACAGTCCGTGCTGCCCAATATCAGACACGAGCTTCTCAGCCCAAGCGTTAGTAGGAACAACAGCTGCCCACATTCAGAGCAGGTTGTCTCACATATCTGTCTAGAAGAGGGGAGAGTTCTTGCTTTTCCGAAACTAAGAAAATTCTGTCAGGAGTGCATCTATGGGGGAGCTGCTTTTACTAGGACCTTGGGGAGCAGCCATCCTAGCAATTGCTACAGCCCCACCCAGGTTAACCACACTTGGTCACAGCAGCAGCTACCATCTCCGTTTTACAGGGCATTGCACAAACAAAGCAGGCAGTAGAAACAAGGATGTCTTGGAGCCCCCTGTAATTTGTTGCCGGAGGCAACTGCCTAGTTTGCTTGCGTCTGGGCTCTAGTCCTCTCTTCCTTCCCGTTTCCCATTCCTTTCCTCTCTCTCCTCCTGCCCACAGCCAGGAAGAAGGGAGTTCATGCAGGGCTGATGCAATTGCCCAGCTCAGCCCACACTCTGCACAACACCTTTGCTCTCTGGGCCCTGCCCGAGTCGCAGACCTGCCATCTCAGCTAGGCATTTGTGCTGACCTGTGAAGATCAGTCAGCCAAGGAGCAAGAGGCAGTGCAAGGAAGCATCCCAGACCTCTACCCAGGAGAGTAATTAACGCTACAACTAATAACCAGCAAGGAGATTACAGACATCAGGAACTACCGAAGCAAGAGGGAGAGTTTTAAGGTTCCAGAAAGGTAAATCCACAAATAAAACTGGATTAATCAATTAAAATTCTGTGTCTGAATCTCTTTTCTGTCTTTGACCCAAAAGTACACAACCAAGCTCCTTCTGCCTTGGCTTGAACTCTTGCAGCATGAACGATGAATCATTAAAGTGGCAGCTGCACAAAATGAGAAAGCAGTGGGCTCAGAGACAGTGAAAAGACAGACTAGTATTTCTAAATGCTCTTAAAATTAACATGTAGATACACATGTATACACAGGGAAAGGTGTGTGGTGGTCTGACATACTAGAACCTTTTCCCTTTAAGGAGAAAGTTTCCCAAGAAGACCTTGCAGCTTTTTGTGAGCAACAGCGAGAGCAGTACATAAGTCATCTTCAAACCTCATGATCAGCCTTGGGCAGCTAATGCTTTTCTCTGCATACAGTTCCTGGAGGCTTGCTATAGAAAGGATTGTCACCAGATTCACAAACGCCCGAGGAACCTGCCAAGAGAACAAGCAAAGCCAGGGCTGGCATCGGGAGCACCGAGTGGCATCTTTGCCCTTCCACCGCCATGGCAGACTTCAGATCGGTGCCAATATAACAGGCCTGCTGACTGAAACAGCTTGTGTTATTTACGACAGACATGTTTGAAGTAATTTCTCAATACTTGATCCCACACAGTTAAAATACTAAATTACAGCCCCTGCCTATGTGGGCTAGTTCCATTTCAAACACTGATGGCCGGTCATCTGAAAATGATGATTTCAGAAAGATACCAATGTGTTGTTATAGGTGTTTCTCAGCGTGGCTCAGATACTTGCTGACTCTGAGTGGTCTCATCATCAACTTTAGCCTCATCCAGAGTATCAGAATATCACTCTGAATGATCAGAAAAGTGTTATTTTGCAGTATAACGAATGAGCGATGCATTTTCCGGTTCTTGAACAGCATGTTTGTTCAAATTTGCTACAGTATTTTTTATGCTACTTGTCTGCAGCGCATCAGCTAGAACTCCTCACATCCTTGTTCTTTCTGTAACATGCTTCTTCCAGCCCTCCCTGTCTCTCAGAGATTTTCCTGTGTGCAAACACCTCTGCATACAGCAGCGCTGCACAGATGAGAGCGAGGAACTGAATTCTCAACCAATAACCACCGACTGCTTTACAAACAGAACGTGATCCCCCCCCACCCCACATTACTAGAAACGTTTGTTTTACCTCTCTGTGAAGCATGTCCAAAGCAATTTGTATATTATATGTGTAGTTTTCAGGAGAATAGCGTATCTGTGGAAACAACAGGGTTGAATTTCTGTCAGTCAGTTTGTTCAAGCAGGCACAACAGCGGCTAGCTGGAGTCTCTCACTGCAGCACTTGCACTTCTCACTCTTGGGTCAAGAGTAATAGTGTCCTAAGTATAACTGGCATGTCTCTGCTCTTCTTCAGCTACCGTCACAGCTGCCTCGCTCATAAGAAAAGACGCGGCAGCACTGAATAGCACGGAGGGAGCAAATTTAGGGGGAACTAGCAAGCATCACAACATCCTCCATCCCCAAGCTGGCTTAGGTCAGCCTTGGAAACACAGCTAACACCTCACCCAGAGGGACTGTCATAGAGACAGACCAGCCTGTGTAAATGCAAGTGTGTTTGTGGTGCATGGAATATTAGCAATATGCCTCCTCTGCGCTCCTTTCCTCCCAGGAATAACTGGCAAAGCTGTATCCTGTGCAGAGATGTACCAAAGAAACTTAGAGGCATATCTGGAAATGAGATCAGTTTGTATACTTGCCTCATCTTGACAAAATTTCCCTGTTCAATCTGAGTGGTTTGAACAGTCCAATTTCATTATCCCCAGCAATTTGACTTCTATTTCTTCATATGAGGAGCAAAGAACATGCTCCACAGCCGAACAGACTTCAGTATTAGAAGCGTCTTTTCTTTCCTCATCTTCAGCCTTAATTCTCCTTGATCTAGTTTCACGCAGAAGTTCCTTGCGAGCCTCATTGGCCTACTTTACAAAGTAAAACAGTCTGGGTCCCTTATTTCCTAAACCACAGCTCGCCCAGAGCATTGTGGTTGGCACTAGTTGTAGCTGCGTAACATAAAAGCAGCTTACTTCATTCTGATCTTTGAATGCAGGCATGACATCTCCCTGCCATTTATCTTTATGTGCAACAGCCTTTTTTTTTTTTTTTTGTCTGAGTCAGGAGCAGAAGGTAGGAATAGTTAATTTGCTCATTCATTGTTTCAGAACCATCTCATTGTGCTTCTTTGTTGTTTTTCCCTTATCTGAAACTAATCATGCGGAGCAAGAAGTATGTGCTCTACCGCTTTTAAGTAGGTAAAACAATAAGGTCTCATCACTATGTGAGAGGCCTACCACAGTGTTTCATCTCCTCTCTAATCACACAAAACAAAGGTTACGTGAAGGTTTAATAGCATCAGCACCAGCTGCTGGCAGAACCACCCCACAGCACTGAAGCCAGTAACAGAGCACTAAGAGAGACGCTAGACACGTGAGTGTGCACAGGGCCAAGCAAGAGGGCTTAACCTTGGCAATATCTTTTATCTACAGGTGATAAAGCAGCTAGATCAACGGAAAGTTATCTTAGTTAATAGCAAGGCAAAGTAGCCACAGTTATGTAGTTTACAGGGGTCCTGAAGATATCGCTGTGTTTATCATAACAGGTTGAACAACCTGAAGGTCACAGAGCAATCACATACCATTACTCTACCTTATTTTGGTCTAGTGTCCCTACCCAGCTGTGTTCTGCCCTCTCACACACTGTGGTGCAGACAGACCCAGCGCCCAGGCCAGCCCGGCCCGGCTCACGCTGCATGCGACTGAGGACTTACTGGATCCCTGCAGTATCCACATAGGTCATTTCCTCCTATGAAGAGTGTTACAAGCTTCCAAGTGTGTTGGAAATGTATTTCTTCAAAAAATAAAAAAAAAAAAAAAAAAAAAAGGAATGAAAGTTGTGAAGGGAAAAAAATAATAATGAAGATGGCCAGACAACATACTAAAGAGAAATTTAACATTTCTCTGGTGGCCTGGCTATAGTTTCCTAGGTGTATTCACAGCAAAACGAATTTACGGTCATGACCGTGAGGAGAAACTATGCCGACGCAAATAAGTTCACAATTGTTGCTTTACAATTTCAATAGTACCACACAAAACTTGAGAAAACTATTGCGCAAGCTCCATCTGTACATCTCGCTTAGTAATAGCTTATGTATACACTGACTGACTCCTCTGGCAATTCTGGGAATACTTCACTGCAAAAAAAGTGGCATATGTTTTACTGTGTAATAAATAATGCAGCTGTCCTGCTGGAAAATCCTGGAGGACAAAATATTTCGGCTTTATTATGAGACACACTGCGAAGAAGAAAGGGGCAGTTTCGACTGTAACAAACAATATTGGCAAAAATTAGAGCACTTTCTCTGGAAGGATTTTGCAAAGGCACAGCTAATGCATAGTAATTATGCCACAGTAAACACATACCTTCTTAGCTGTGAAGAAAGGCTCAGATATGCTTAGTACTATGTACCTGCTGTGGCACTCAGTATCTTAACACTTGAACGTCAGTGCCCAACACCACTAGGAAAAGCAGCAACAGAACATCAGCCTCAAGTGAGTTAAAAGCATCTAACTTCTAAGGCAGAATATGATATATCCCAGCTGGTAAAACCCCCCCTGCCTGGTGGTTTGATCTCAAAACTTACTTATGCACATTAAAATAGTCTGATGGGAGAATTTTCCTCCTGCTCTAAATAGGTGTTTTAGGAAGAGGATAAAGAAGCTCTAAAATCAAAGATATGTCATCTCTAATATGAACATCCCTTCTAGTTAATTACTCAAGAGAAAAAGCATTTGCACTTGTTTTTCATGTGATATTTCCAAGCCAATAAATATGACAGAATACTGCTTAGAAACCTGGAACGAAAATCATCCAATTGCTTAGTTGTTAACTGCTTATCCCTTTTAATCTCATTTCAGATACAGCCACAAGAGTGAAATCTCGTTTACAAGACAGTGCACTGAAAAGGAAGGTGCTGCAAATGTTTTTGCCAACATGCTTTCACCAGGACATTTATCTTAAACATGCACACATAGTTATCGTGAAAGCTTTTTGGCTGCTTTCCAAATGCACAATCAGCAAGCCAAAATAACGTCATGCAACTTAGGTCACTGATGACTTAGCATAATTGCCAATTTACAAATAGCAAACACTCAAAGCAGTAGTTGAGGTGAAAAATCTGCAAGCAGTCCTCAGCCCGATATATGCTTTACAGACCATTAATCAAATGACTCCCAACAATGAACGTGTCAGTCAGAAAATCAGCTTTACAAACTTTGCTAAGTTATATTTCTGATTGAATGTGCATATAATCCTTAGACGTAAGCCACTGACCAAATCTGAGACTCAGATTGCATCCAGCGCACCCAAACTCCTCTGAGAAGAGGCTTAGAAAGCCCATTCTGAAGCTCATGACTCAACAGGAGGGTCTCCTCCACACTTTCATCTGACCTGTCCTCCACGCAGTAAACGACTGGGTGAACTTTACCATCGACCCGTGTTAAATCACTGTCTTATTTATGATTGAACTTTGTTAAATCGCTATCTTACCTCAATAAAACGTATTGCTGCTTCTCTCTTGCAAATGAAGTGCATCACTCCTCACTCATCCGCAACAAATCAAAAGAAATTGAAAGAAAACAAGCCCTTTCCTCACTTCATATATTCACACCATATCTACAGTTTGGAAAGCTTGTCCTCAACAGCCTAGTGCCTATCTTCACAGGCTAGCAAAAACATGTGCTTGCAAGGTAATTAATAGCACCACAGTAACATGCTAGCAGACAAAAGGTTCTGTAGTCTTAAAGGGCGAGGTGGCTTGGGAGGAGAGGCTATAGCACTGAACGTACCAGTTATCTTGCAGTAAAAACGATAGTGAGATTACAGTTAGCTGGGTTTCATAGCAAGATAACTATCACATGCTTGTACAAACGTAGCTAACACAAAGCTCTAGCTGATCGTGTGCTGAGGCACACTCTGCACTGAGGAATATGCCATTGCACGCTGCTGGGCCCCTAGCTTTGTTCAGCACGTACTCTTGGCCTGCTGTGCTGTTAGAAACTAATGGCATCACTTAACTTCATCCTCCTAAAGAAATTTGTGACATGTTAAACTCACAGAATCATTCTTCATTCGGTCCACCAGTCTTCTAACCTGTGCAGGGACATCCCTGAACATAAAAAAAGAAAAAAAAAATGAAGGAATCCTGCACAGATAGCAGGGAAAAGAGGAAAGCTGATGTATGGGCACCCTTCAAATAAGGGCTAAACAACCTAGGAAACTCCAGTTTTTGTTGTTTGCTAGATGATGGACTTGATTACTGAAAGAAGGCCCATCAGTATTACTGCACTCCTGCCAACGTTTAAGGTTCGGGCCATTTGCAGTTGAAACTAAACCTTAAAGAAAAGTCAGCTTTCTATTAAAAATGAAAGAATTTTCCTCTTACTCCGCACGACTGCCTGCCACAGCTTGGTTGAAGGCAGCATTTTCTGTAGTCTCCTTTCCAGTGCCAGTGGAATATCCTCTCAAGGAAGGATTGAATTCACGAAGAATATCTGCAGAAAAGAGTACCCTGAAAGGTTGCTTGCTTCAGCAGGTAACAAAGGATGTTATAAAGATTATACCTTAATAAAAGAGCAACTTTATTAAAAATAAACCTCTATACACACTAAAGATGGAGATTTGTCATGATACTACTATTATCTTGCCTTCAGGTTGCTCAATTGCATGAATTCAAACGTTTGTGACTTAGCATGACCATCTTAGCTAGCAACGTCGTTTTGCGTAGTAAGCAAGGCTAAGCAACCCTGGACCCAGGAGGACGCTCTCATGCTCTCTCACATTAACTGTAGAAGGGTTGAAATAAAATCCTTTAGTCTGATCTCCGCAGATTTATTAACCTCGAAGACCTAGATTCCCTTCCAGATCTTAGGTTGTAAACAAGCCTTATGAACATCCCAGATCCAGTAACGCCCCGACCTTTAAAGCGTGTAAAAGTGGGTAAAATCTGGTCGTGTTTTAGGAAGGAGTAAAATCACGTTACAGCTTTCCCATATAGTCAAAATAGTTAATTTAGGCTATGATCTAAGGTGTTTGATTCATCTACCCCAAACCCAGTTTGGGCAGAATTACAACCAGCAGAAACAGCCAAAACCCTTAGAAATTACAAAATACATTGTTAAAGTCATGCACAACAAACTGCAATCTGGCTGGTAAGCAACTTTTACTCAGCAGTCAACATTGAATAAAGAGGGATTGGTTCTGCCATGCTGCAGATTGCAAGTCTTCCTTCTTGTCTTTTCTATAAATTAATAAACAGCTCCACGTATCTATCAGGTTTACAGAAGAAGGCACTTACTTGTTAGTGTTGTGACTGTGCTTATGTTTTCATTTCCTCCAACACTGTTAAAAGGAAATAAGCAAGAAAAAAATATTCCAAAATATGATGGACTTCTTAAGGTAATGGACTAAGTAAGAGAGCTCCCCCTTATGGTGTTTCTGGATACAAACAAATATAACCCCCCCCCCCCTCCAAGATATTATTTAGTAAAGAGAACAAGTCAAAGCAAGCTGTTTGTGTGCATATCAATGGGGTCACAAACTTAGAGACTATCATAACCATCATATTAAAAACCTTGCACAGTAACTGCTCATTCTATTCTCTCATATGCTTTAGCATATATTAAATGTAGCAGAAAGAAGTAAGAATTTTAAAAAGTCAGATAACTTCCATCATTTTTGCTAATGTTATCCCCATTAAAATCTTTATTACTTCCATTTGTAGTTAATAAATCCATTCTATCTGCCACAAGTTCTAAAGGTAGATGTTTTACCTTACCCGATAAGAACAGTCAGCACCTTCTTCCCGACCCCACTCAGTTGGCAGACTACTACTAGACTGGCAAAATTCACTATTTGTCTGTATGTTCTTTATCATTCTTTGTATTATAAAGTAATGCTATTGTAACTGTTTTTCCACAAGTGTCAGTGGAATACTATTAAAGACCAAGGTATAAAGAGCTGGATTTATCTCTTTAATATCCCTTTAACTTAAAATAGAACAGTTTGAAGTACTTTAGTGCCTGTTTAAACCTCTCTACAGCTGCAGTGTCTCACTAAGTAAGAAACAATGGTCGGAAAAGTCAGTCTGACAACAAAGTGTTAAATCATACAGTTGCAGAAAAATAAATGCACATGATTGTCTGTCTTCAGTATGGCTTTTTGGCCTGTATAATAAAATGCTGCATAAGTAAAAGTCTACTAACCAATAACTGCTGAGCTGTTCCACATGATGCAAGTAAAACTGGGAGAGGGTCAAGAAACTAGAGACTGTGTAGGAAATAGCAGCAAAAACGATCCCATTCTGGACCATTTGAATAAGACAGATGGACAACACGGGCCATACTTGGAAAAGAAAAGCTATAGAAAAGGCAGGAACAGAAGTACTGAATGCAAAAGTGGTGCAACTGCACTGAGATCTAGAAATCCCCTTTGCAACGGCTACAGAGATGAGAGGAGAAAGAGGCCACCTTAACAAAGACCCCATTTCACCCATTTATCCAGGCTTGTACCAGCCGTGCTACACCTTCCTCTAAATGGCTGCTAGTTTCAACATTTTCTTTACCACAAATAAAGGCACAAGCAGGTGCCTCCATGCTTGGTGTGAAGTCAAACTCACTCTCCACAAGTCTAGATTTGTTACATGAACAAGCAAGCCTATCATGAACTAAAAAAAAACGGAGATTTTTCACCCCATAAAACAAAGGGATTCTGGTTGGGGGGAATTCTGGGGACTCACCTCCAGGAAATACCTCTGTACTGAGTGATGACATCCAGAACATTATGGGGTTTTGATCCTGCCCCATTACCTGCCTACAAGCAGAAGAGAAGTGGAGTTCACCTTCAGAAAATAAGGCTTGCTACAGTAACTAGCTCTCTAACTGATCATAGCAAAAATCATTTAAAGGGATGTTAATGAGGCAAGCTACAAAATTTTCCCAAAGTATACCAGATCTCTGTTCTCAGGAGGATCAAGGCCTAAGGGTATTTCAACTCTGCTCCAGTGATTTATCCTCTTCTATCAATTTCTTGATTAGATCAAGTGGCAGAAAAGTGGCTGAGAAAGTTCAAAACGTTCAAATACTTCTAAATTTACATAAGGAATAAATAAGATAGCAGTGTCCTGAATGTATAGTTTATTATAATATCCCTTGCGTTATAAAGCAGTAATTTTCCCTCTTCCCACTCCCAATTTCCCTGAAAAAAAGGAGATTACAAGGATTTAATGTAGCAATTATTATAGAACGTAAGGAAACATGAAACACGATACGAGCAGTGAAACAATCACTGATTGGAGAATCACAGCCAGTCTAGGAGTAACCATTATAGATAGCCTAGGAACAGCTCTAAAAAAATTCTCTAGGTAAGTTACACTTAACACACTTGATGATCGATTGCAATTTGACTCAAATATTTAGTTAGTATAAATGGACATGGCTTTATAGAATGGTAATATATCTATATACGTTAGCTGCAGAATTTGTTCTTTCTGTTTATGCTGCTTACTAATAGGTTCAAAGGCAAATACCTAGGGAGCTGTCTAGAATCAATAATGAAAATCAACTGTTGCAAGTTCACTCTAGCAGGGTGTTTTTGCTGCTATACAATCTAATCTTGCAATTCTTCCTTGTGCAGCACTCTTGTGGACTTTAAATGGGAACTGTACACACTAGACTCATGAACTGATTAGTCAAGGTGGAGTATAGAAAAGAATGCATGAAAAATGTGTTTGGCCCAAGAGGGTAGAACTGTATGTATTTACTCTTTCTGATTAAAATTCAGAACTGCTTTTTTATTACTTGCTTAAGTGACAGTTGTTCAGCAATTTTTACTCACCGTGAGTGAATCTCCCAGGGCAGCAATCACCTGAATATCTGCTGGTCTCAAATTATGAACTTCGGGGGGGAAAAAAAAAAGTGGTATAAAGGAGGGAGGAAAGAAAGGAAATTTCAAATTGCAGTGCATATCAGAACCTTTCCTTAGGATAGGCAAAAAGCATTGCAGGAAATGTATTTTAATATTCATGATCACATCAACTTAGAATGACAGATACTGACAGTCATCAGAACAGAGATGATCCTTTGTACCATAGCTGCGCATTAGCTATAGTGACAAGGGAGGCAGCGGGATTTCACTCTCATACTTACGCTTACTCAAACTTGTTTTAGCCTGTGGAAATAGCTAAAATGCAGGCACAGCTGCAGTAACCGTGCAGCATGGAATTTTTAAGACCATTGTAGCTTCTAAGAGAAGACACAAATGCATCTGGGGCAAGATTCCCCATGGCTTTTTGCTCCCCAGACTGAACTAACAAGAGTCCCAAATCCCTACTCCATACTTTGCCCAATAGATAAATATCTTTATTTAATTGGCCATTAAGAATCACATTTCAAATTAAGCTTCACTTCAGAGAAAGTATGTAAAAACATCCTATTTATAAACAAGGCCACCTGAGGGAACTTGGGACCAGTCAGAGTGGGAGTTCCTGAGGACAGATCCCGAATTGCATGGAGGCCATGTTTTCTAAGAAGAAAAACAGTATGCTTTGAGATCACTAGCTGGAGGAGCTGGGGTCATATGCAGCTTTACTGCTTCTGCACGCAGTTCAGCTGAGGTATCCAGCTCCCTCCTGTCTTTTCCACTGTCACTTTTTTGTTCATATATGCATGATGCAGTTGCATAAGCTTTCACCATCCTTGAAGACGACTGGACTCCTGCTATAAAACTCTTCAGGTTGCTCAAAAAAGCATTTCAAAGACACAATAAATAGAATGCACTGCTAATAACAGGAAAAAAAAAGTGCATCCTTCCTAACTAAAACCAGCCCTTGTTTCCCTTCTATCATCTGTTGAAGCGGTTCTACAATACAATTGCATAATGATGTACCTGACATTGGGACCGTATCGGAGGGACCACGGCCAGAACAGGGAATACTTGTTCCATAGCTCCTTTCCTAGGAAGGCAGGCAGTGCAAGACTTGATATTATTAGACCGTTTATGCTCTAGTTTGTGATAAACCATTTATGCTTCAGAGCATTAGATACATGAATTTTCCGTGTATTTTTTATGCATCTACCCAACTCCAACTTTCCCCAGGCCATGCCTACAAGCGCCTTTTTTGAGGTGGGCGCGGGCTTAATCTACTAAGAAACCGCACAGCCATATTACTGCCACACTGCCCTGCCTGTCAGAAGGGCTAGTTATTTCAGATGCCGTGTCACACTATACCCAACCGCATCACTTCTTGCGTGCCTGTACTCTGAGCTTGTTGAGTTCGTATCTTCCTCCTAATGACTTTATGAACATCCCTGGATTATCCCAGCATCAAACTGCCTTTGCCAGCAGGCTGTTTACCTGCCTTCTCTGCGTGCAGCCCCACGTGCCTCGGCAACTGGGCTTATTTCCAGGAAAGCCCTGGGCTTACATGCACTCTGGTCTCTCTGTGCGCTCCAAGCGCTACTGTTCGTGAAGATTGACAGCAGTATGCCAACGTGAGTGGACCGTGGCATGAGACCCAAGGACATGCACTTGCTTCAGATCTCTCCATGGCAGTCAGGTAGGTTAATTCGCCTGAGGAGAAGACTCTTTGCTATCTTGCCCCACTGCTCCAGTTTGTCTTTGTTTATCTTCCCCCCAAAACAGTGCTGCTTCTTATCACCTTACATCACAGGTATGACTAAAAAAATCAGATGAGTTGTCCCATACACAGGTCTATATCATAACAAAACAGATAGTTATTTTAAAATGAGTAGAGAAGTGTACAGTGCCATTCCAATGACATATATGCCATTTTGAGTGCAGATACAGTCTAGACACCATATCTAGGGGCAAGAAGATGATAATGCTTCATCTCCATGCATTATCACCTCCCCTCTGCAGTTCTTTGAGCAGAATTTGGTGCCTCCAAAATCACAATACCTCATGACTGAAAAAGCATGCTTTTTATCTCTCAACAGCTGCAATTACCTTGTGAAAAACTAAAAAGAAAAATCCTTTGTTCTTCTGTTTTACTAATGGGTAAGCCAGATTAAATCAGATCTCCACAGTGGTGTCATGTTTTCTCCACAGCAGGACTAACGGTCCCTGTTCTCACTATCTTCTTATCACAGGGAAGTTAACATTGTTATCCAGAAGTTTAAAAAAAAAAAAAGGGCTCTTAGCCATGAAGACAAGACTTTAGACGGACTGAAGACATCTGATTTGATTCACACCCTACAAAATCCATCAAGAAAGTGTGCCATTATGTGCCTGACTATTTAGTAACTTGTAAGCATGGAAATAAAGAGTTAGGGCTCTGCGTTGTTTTCCCTGGTAACGCTGTTTAACTAAACTACAACACACTTCCACCCACCTTCCCAACTCCCTGAAATGTACTTAGGCCATATGCTACAAACAGGCTTACTATACCTGAGATGTTTCTTTGGTGTTTGATGTCACTGGGAAAGATGAGTAGTTACTATTCTTATACGTGAACAAATACGGATTTTCCTGCAGAGGTAAGAGTATTTTTTACTAACAGTAGTGGAAATACACTCAGCTGATGCTGAAGTCTTCTAGATCAGTTTTCCAAGAGAATACAATCTATATAGCATTAATTTTTCAATGAACATTTCACTAATGAAGTAAACCAGGTTAAACCCAAAGATTAAGTACTGGTAATCCCTAGACATAACACTACCTCTTGCCTGAAACGTAACATCAAACAAAAGAGACAAATCAGTTTCTGTAATGCTTTAATTGCTGTTCAGTGAAGGTTTCGGATGCCAGTAATATTTTATCACTCTCAAATTACTGAAATCAATGTTTAGAAGCACAAAAGCTCCAGAGCCTGTTGCTTGAACCTCAGAGATGTTCAGACCCTGAAGACAGTACTGCTCTATTAACAGCTACTAGGACTAAAATAGTCAAATCTTACAGAAGACAGAGTCAAGTGATAGACAGCAAAAGTTATATAAAATACGTGGACTGAATTTTATCGTTGAAACTGATTTTGTATTGATAATGCCTCTCTGGTATTCACAGTTAATGAATTCAGATTAGCTGACCATCTTTTGAATCAAAAAAAAATATCCGACACGGTAAGAGGATTTAACTAAAAACTTTTTCAGAAGTTCTGTTTTCAAAATTTTGTCTTTATAAGATAAAGTGTCTGCATCAGTGAACTTTAGGAATGCTAAATTTTCAGCAGTGGGAAAGTACACATTCCCAAGAACTTCAGAATAAGGCAACAGTATATGAAAACCTGGAAATTCTGTAAAGAGTAAATAAAGTCTCAAAGTGATAAGGAAGTCCCTTTACCTGAGATGGACACAGGACCTGAAGCATTTTTGTGAAATCATAAGGCTTCTTCTGTCCGACTGGCTCCATCTGGAAAAGGACAAAACACAAAAATTTTTACACGTGCTATGAGGGGGAAGGAAGGGAGAGCAGCAGTAATTCAAAGGCTTTAGTGCCTTGAGTTTTCCATCAGATTCATATACTTTAGAAACTTGTTTTGCTTATGATTAATGTTAATCTGTGCATAACACGCCACATGCATATCTACAAAATAAGGAAGTGAAAACAAGGCCTCTCACATGATCTGACCATCACTCCTTCATCATTAAAGCAGCCATCGACACTAACTCTGCTCTCTGACAACGCTGGCCCGTAAGTTCCTCCCATCAGGCACTGGTTTTAGACCACATAAATAATAACTTGATTGCTAGCAGTCAAATTATCAGCTCAACCACAGTAACTACAGATATCCTCTAGAGGAGCACAGCTTAAACCATCTCCATGATTAGTTTTTACCCTCTTATGGGATGTAGTTTAAACTCTGCTGGGATTAACAGGCCAGTTTTACTTCCCTCCTTAGTTTTGGTGCAAGTGAGCAGAAGAATTCAGCTGACAGGTAACAACCCTTTGCAGTGGTCTATCCGTTTTCCCAGACCTCATCTGTCACATACATTCTTTTTCTACCTCTAGGTTGTGAAAGCTGTGGTCAGTAACGCTTGATAGGCACAGCTGGGAGACCTTTCTTTGTCTTTCCACAGTCCGTAGTTTTAATATAAAGATATACAAGAAACTCATGGACTTTTGTGGGGGAGAAAAAGCAACTTGTAGTAGACTGAAGCTTTGCAGAAAAATGATTTTATTGAAGCTCCTCAGAAAATTCAGGTTTGACTCAGATTATACATTGAAGGTTTGGATAAGTCCACACTGCTTTACCTGAAAGGTCGAAAGCACAAAATCCCCAACGTAAATGGAAAACCAAAAATCTTCTATTTGGTGATACATTTGTGCTGCCTGTGAGCCCTATATTTATGTACTCCCTGCGCTGCAAAGTCAGAAATATGGAATATAACACCTTAAATGTCTCACACAAAAATATGGAGTATTACACCTTAAAGGTCACACACCAGTCCTGTAGTGGTTGCAGCTCACTTACCTAAAAGCTTGCTAATTTATCTCACCTTCAGAGCTGCTTCTTTATCTACATTTTTACATGTGTTAGACAATAACAGAAGTGCACTCCAACTCTGCATGGAGGATTAATAATACTCCTATCTGTTGGTCTTTGTTTCTCTTCCTACAAGATGGTGAAGGGGTTGTTATTAAAGAAAAATTATGGAATGACTCAAAACTCAATACTGAGAATAAATTGGTAAATACCTGTGAAGAATCTTTTCATGCACCTTGCTGGGTGCTAGTTAAATTGCAATCACACCTCAAATAGTTGGGCACTGTTTTAGATTTCTCAGTGAATCTGCTCAATGTGCACCAGCAGCAGCTGCTGCTAGAAAAAAAAAAAACCAGACTACATAAGAAACATGATTGAAGGCAGTGCAAAATATGGCAACAACAAGCTTGACGTCACTGATACATTCTGGGCAGGAATGTTATATTCTATTTCGGTTGTTCCATCAATGAAAATAATGGAAAAATTCAGAAGCAAGTAGAGAAGAGATTTACAGATTTAGATATTCTTTAAAAGAGGCATTTGAAGAAACTGAGACTGTGCTCTTCTTGAAAGACAGGAATAAAAGGAATGTCACTATGATATACAAAATAATAAAGCCCAAAGAAAAAAAAATGCACTGGGAGCTGGTACTTCCCTGTCCTCATAAGACAAAACAAAGTAGCTATTTAATAACATTCTTGAAAAGAAATATTCTTCTTCCAGCACAGAGTTATCCCACAGAAAATGGGACAACGGTGGTTTCTCTTGGCGAGGAGTAAATTTCGAACAAGTATTAGACACTTATATGTTGCTGGGAGATGGGTGAGGAGAATGAATTTCTCCGCTAGGCAATTCCTTCCCTGTCACTCCATGTCACTGTTCCTTTGGCAGGGAGACTCACAGCTCCCATGCAGCTCGTTTCTCATGCAGCACGGGTTATAGGAAATCAGGCATTGACTCAGTATTGTAGGCTGACAAAGTTTACCCCTACTTCTAACACGTCTTATAGACAGGTTTGCATGCTGGTCCGATACTCTCATGCAGAAAGAGTTTCCAAGGCAGCGTAAACCACTGAACTCAGAAGAGAGGCATGCACGGCCTCCTGTGGGTGCTGCTCCCGCTCAGGTTCTTGCCTGGTTTCAGTTTGTTTTCCTCCATTTTGTAGGATGGGGTTTTTGTGGTCTTTTCTGTTACACAAAAGATCGACAAACAGAGGAACAAAAGCATCTTTGCCTAAAGTCTTTACAGACATGAAAGGAGCTTTGCCTTTGGATGTATTTCCAGAGATAAAATCGTAAGCATTTGCCAAAATTAAATCAGCCAGACTCTCTGCGGTGAACATTAAAGTTATCTACATAAACAAACAACCAACCTCTCTCAGCTTTTCCCAACTACTCAATGGCTTTTAGCAGACTCTTCTCTGATGTCTGTAGCGCAAGAACCACATTGTCCCTAATTTACTAAGAACGCTTCAGTATCCAGCTGTGTCTAAGAAAAAATTTTAGCACCTGCGAGCTCAGCTTCTTTCCAGGCAGAGTGCATTTCAGTGCTACTTGCCAATTGCCACTAGATTTCCAAGGTTTTGCCCTTTGGTCCATCAGCAGGTTATCATTCCAAAAGGGAGGCTGGTGCCAAGCCTCAAAGCAAGCGTGGCCAACATAAAGACAGCTTGGCAGCCAGCGGAAGGTGGGAAATACTTTGAATGCAGTTCTGGTGTACCTCCTCACACTGCTGTGCTGGCTGCCTGACTTGATCTGCCATCATCTTGATCTCATATCAGTTCCCAGTGATGCCTGCCCCCACCCACCCTGCAGTCAGCTTAAGCAGTTAGCTGTTTCTCTTAGCAGAGTTAGAGTGTCTCTTATCAGGTAGGGGAATCTGCCAGTGCTTTTTAAACTGAAAGCATCTTTCAGATCACCTGCGCTTGCACAACGGCTGGATCACAGGTAGGTAAGGAACCTCCCCAGGGAGATGCCTTTCTGACAATCTCCAGTTTTCCTAAGAAAATTCCACTAAAGAGAGAAGGCAG